CTGTCTGTGTTACAGCGCACTATATATGTTTATGTCTGTCTGTGTTACAGCGCACTATATATGTTTATGTCTGTCTGTGTTACAGCGTACTATATATGTTTATGTCTGTCTGTGTTACAGCGCACTATATATGTTTATGTCTGTCTGTGTTACAGCGCACTATATATGTTTATGTCTGTCTGTGTTACAGCGCACTATATATGTTTATGTCTGTCTGTGTTACAGCGTACTATATATGTTTATGTCTGTCTGTGTTACAGCGTACTATATATGTCTGTCTGTGTTACAGCGTACTATATATGTTTATGTCTGTCTGTGTTACAGCGTACTATATATGTTTGTCTGTGTTACAGCGGACTATGTATGTTTATGTCTGTCTGTGTTACAGCGCACTATATATGATTATGTCTGTGTTACAGCGTACTATATATGTCTGTCTGTGTTACAGCGGACTATGTATGTTTATGTCTGTCTGTGTTACAGCGCACTATATATGATTATGTCTGTGTTACAGCGTACTATATATGTCTGTCTGTGTTACAGCGTACTATATATGTCTGTCTGTGTTACAGCGCACTATATATGTTTATGTCTGTGTTACAGCGCACTATATATGTTTGTCTGTCTGTGTTACAGCGCACTATATATGTTTGTCTGTCTGTGTTACAGCGTACTATATATGTTTGTCTGTCTGTGTTACAGCGCACTATATATGTTTATGTCTATGTCTGTGTTACAGCGCACTATATATGTCTGTCTGTCTGTGTTACAGCGTACTATATATGTTTATGTCTATGTCTGTGTTACAGCGGACTATGTATGTTTATGTCTGTCTGTGTTACAGCGCACTATATATGTTTATGTCTATGTCTGTGTTACAGCGCACTATATATGTTTATGTCTGTCTGTGTTACAGCGCACTATATATGTCTGTCTGTGTTACAGCGCACTATATATGTTTATGTCTGTCTGTGTTACAGCGCACTATATATGTCTGTCTGTGTTACAGCGTACTATATATGTTTATGGCTGTCTGTGTTACAGTGTACTATATATGTTTATGTCTGTCTGTGTTACAGCGTACTATATATGTTTATGTCTATGTGTTACAGCGCACTATATATGTTTATGTCTGTCTGTGTTACATATGTTTATGTCTATGTCTGTGTTACAGCGCACTATATATGTTTATGTCTGTCTGTGTTACAGCGCACTATATATGTTTATGTCTGTCTGTGTTACAGCGCACTATATATGTTTATGTCTATGTCTGTGTTACAGCGCACTATATATGTTTATGTCTGTCTGTGTTACAGCGTACTATATATGTTTGTCTGTGTTACAGCGCACTATATATGTTTATGTCTGTCTGTGTTACAGCGTACTATATATGTTTATGTCTATGTCTGTGTTACAGCGCACTATATATGTTTATGTCTGTCTGTGTTACAGCGCACTATATATGTTTATGTCTGTCTGTGTTACAGCGTACTATATATGTTTATGTCTATGTCTGTGTTACAGCGCACTATATATGTTTATGTCTATCTGTGTTACAGCGCACTATATATGTCTGTCTGTGTTACAGCGTACTATATATGTTTATGGCTGTCTGTGTTACAGCGTACTATATATGTTTATGTCTGTCTGTGTTACAGCGTACTATATATGTTTATGTCTATGTCTGTGTTACAGCGCACTATATATGTTTATGTCTGTGTTAAAGCGCACTATATATGTTTATGTCTATGTCTGTGTTACAGCGCACTATATATGTTTATGTCTGTCTGTGTTACAGCGCACTATATATGTTTATGTCTGTCTGTGTTACAGCGCACTATATGTTTATGTCTGTCTGTGTTACAGCGCACTATATATGTTTATGTCTGTCTGTGTTACAGCGTACTATATATGTTTATGTCTGTCTGTGTTACAGCGTACTATATATGTTTGTCTGTCTGTGTTACAGCGCACTATATATGTTTATGTCTATGTCTGTGTTACAGCGCACTATATATGTTTATGTCTGTCTGTGTTACAGCGTAATATATATGGTCATGTCTGTCTGTGTTACAGCGCACTATATATGTTTGTCTTTGTTACAGCGTACTATTTATGTTTATGTTTATGTTTGTGTTACAGCGCACTATATGTCTGTCTGTGTTACAGCGTACTATATATGTTTATGTCTTTGTTACAGCGTACTATATATGTTTATGTCTTTGTTACAGCGCACTATATATGTTTGTCTTTGTTACAGCGTACTATATATGTTTATGTTTATGTTTGTGTTACAGCGCACTATATATGTTTATGTCTTTGTTACAGCGTACTATATATGTTTATGTTTGTGTTACAGCGCACTATATATGTTTATGTCTGTGTTACAGCGTACTATATATGTTTATGTCTTTGTTACAGCGTACTATATATGTTTATGTTTGTGTTACAGCGTACTATATATGTTTATGTCTTTGTTACAGCGCACTATATATGTTAATGTTTGTGTTACAGCGCACTATATATGTCTGTCTGTGTTACAGCGTACTATATATGTTTATGTTTATGTTTGTGTTACAGCGCACTATATATGTTTATGTCTTTGTTACAGCGTACTATATATGTTTATGTTTATGTTTGTGTTACAGCGCACTATATATGTTTATGTCTGTGTTACAGCGTACTATATATGTTTATGTCTTTGTTACAGCGTACTATATATGTTTATGTTTGTGTTACAGCGTACTATATATGTTTATGTCTTTGTTACAGCGCACTATATATGTTAATGTTTGTGTTACAGCGCACTATATATGTCTGTCTGTGTTACAGCGTACTATATATGTTTATGTTTGTGTTACAGCGTACTATATATGTTTATGTCTTTGTTACAGCGCACTATATATGTTAATGTTTGTGTTACCGCGCACTATATATGTCTGTCTGTGTTACAGCGTACTATATATGTTTATGTATTTGTCACAGTGTACTATATATTGTAGGGAAAGCTCACACAGTTATTAGTTAAAAGGGGAGTTGTGGAGAAATAACCAGAAAATTGCAAATTTCAGGCCAAAACAGAGACTGTGTAAAATCTTGCTAATCCAGCTGTTTCCAGCTGACTTGTTATGGGATACAATTTGCGGCTCCCATGTTGGTTCTGTACAGAGTCTGAATAGCCCTGAATGATTTGTAATGCAGGAGAGTTAACCCTGTGTACGTCCATTCGTTTCCATGGTGATTATACAACTCCATCATCGTATTGTTAACAATCACTAATATTAAATTAGAGATTTGATGTACTGGTGAGTTTAGAGCGATAAGCCCATATGATGAGACTATACCCCATATCATCTGACACAGAGATTATTAAAGTGTTACTCCACCACAAATATGAGTTCAACAAAACCCAGATTTTAATTAGAGTAACCATTGCTGTGCTGGTCTCCTCAATCAAAGATTAAAAAAGAGAAAGCATAGATTTACATCTATTCTAGCGCCCAGGCCAAGTTTTCCCCTCAGCCTGATCCTACTCACATCATGTAAAGTCTTACAAGCCCAGTGGCATAGACCCATATTTAGACTTATAACTAGTTATAAATATGGCTCTATGCCACAGGGCTGTCAAAAGCTTCAAGGAGCCGAAACGTTGTTGTTTTGCACTTTATAATAAAACCATCAGGTGTTTCCTGATATACATTGTTCTATTGAATCTTTCCTGGGTTGGACCACCCTGGTGGGAGTACTCCCCGGATAATGGGTGCAAATCCTCTCTACCTTTGCAACTCCCCCAGGGGAAGTCAGGTTCAGTGGAGGCTAGGGGTGTGCTGGTAATGGTTGTCTGGCACCAGAATTTGCACAAAATTAACATTAGGTTAATGGAACCCAATGACGCAGACGGAGGGGTTAAACTCTGTATGTACCACGTTTCAAAGCAAAAGCTGCACATAGAGACTCCGTGCACCATGACCACTTCATATCAATGAACTGCTCGTGGAACCTGGAGGAAGTCTTTAACCATTGATAGATCAATAAGCTGGTTTCTGATAGTCAGTGTTTGGGTGATGTTAGACATTGTATAATTCCAGTAGGATTTTTTTGGTAGCTATGCAGATTGTCGTTGTTTAGTGATGGTCAATCATATTATGGGAGATTTGTAATGCACATGTGGAGTAAAAATGTGCAGCTATTCATAACTTGTTTGTTCAAGGTCTGTCTGTGATTGTGTTATATAGATATATATTGATTTATTTTATTTCTGTATTTATCTGTAATTTGCATTCCTTACAGAAAATCAATTACAGGGGCTGTTAGGCCCAGACACGGTCCCATTGGTTACAAGAATTGGTTAAATAATGCTGTTCTGTATTGGTAAATATTTAACCATTTGTAGATGACAAAGCTGACATTTCTTGAAATCTTTTCTAAACCACTTGATCGCTCTGCTGTAAAATGTCCCTGGAAGATTGTCACATGTTGGGAGGGGGAACTCGAACATTTGGATTAATTTTGAAAGAACACAATTTTAATTACAGCATTTTCTTACCCAGGCAAAAAGTAAAACTAAAACTTTCTTGGTTTTCCCACCCAATTATTTGCATAAACTTTACATAATAAATTTTGCTCTGAAAATTTAACTAGGCAAAATGTTCTATGTAAATTTCTGGCAGCTCAGCCTGCAAAAAGCTGCAGCCCAAATTTTTTTTTTCTTTCTTTTTCACATGAAGTAATTTTTAGAAACATGAAAATTTGTCGAGAAATATACATCAGGCAGACACCCTCCCCCCCCCCAGCATTTCTAGAATACCCACCCCACGTGACTGTGTGTAGCTGCATGCAGAGCCGATGCATCCCTCTTAATGACAATATTTGTTTATTCTCTGATTTAAAAGAAAACAAAATACCCTGACAGCGTGACGTTATATATCTAAATAGCTAATATTTTATCTCAAGGAGACTAGCGTGCGGGTAAAAACCATTTAAAGCCAAAAGCACAGTATGTGATATTTATAGCTTTTTCTGTTATGCCGTATCTGCCTCTCTCCATATAAAGTACTTCTGTTTTACCTGCATGACAAAGTGATAAAAGTCACAAAGAAGATACTTTGATGTTTTTTAAAGGAATGGCTGTGCATGCGTTCAGAAAGTAATCAAAGAGACCGCCCTCCTAAGCAATGTGATAATCGTAACTGTGATGTAACATGCCGAGGGATTAGGAAAAGATCCAGAGTTAGTGTAGGTGGGCAGGGACGCACTCGTTTATTAGGGAAGTTATTTAACACTCTGTATGGTGATTCTGTTATTTGGATAATTTCACGAATAAGCTAATTTTGCTGGGTCTGCCGTACCCTCTCCAGTGCTCACTAGTTAAACTGAACTCCAAATCCCGTGAACTTCTCCTGCCCAAGGGTTTTATGGATTGCCCATAATGCACCTGGTGAACATAATACGAGTCCCAGGATTGGCTGATTTCTTTATTAGCTGGTCCTGGTCTGAGGAATGCACACAGCCAAGCAAGGTGCGGATGTGTTTTATTCATTCTTTAAACATGTTGAGCGTCTGTTAATTATACAACTGGTTGTAGTGACCTTTGAGTCAGTAGGTCCTTGGACTTGGAGAATTTGTCCTCGTGTGCCCCTAACTCGCTTTGAATACATCCCGTTTCCAATGTGATATCTAACCTGGAGTGCCAGCCATGCACATATGGCAGAATCTTTAATATAGAAATGGCACCAAATCAACCCACATCTAATTGTTTAAAATAGGTTTCTGATAGTTTCTCTCTCCAGGCGTCTCCAAATGCTGAATATTTCAATGTGCAAGTAATTGTGGACGGTGGAGTGAGTTTTTCACCCCCCTAATGATCCCACAGACTAATTACGACCCCCCCATTTCCATTTCCTAGGGAGAGTGCAAGAACCCTGGCAGACAACGCTCATCCCAAAGGCCGCAAATGATGACCACCCAAGATGTAACAGTAAAAAAAGAGCAAGCGGAGGAAGAGATTCCAGGAGTAATCTGGCCGAACACCAAAGAGTCCAACAAGGGGAAAATGAATGAGGGTGGGGAAGAGATACCTGCCGAGATCTGTGTGGTCATTGGAGACAACCGAAACCAGCAAAACATAGGTGAGTATCGATCACCAAGCCGACGCGTGTCTCTCATCGCCATTTCATGTTACTAAGTCGTGTAATCTGTGTGTCTGCATTATTCATGGGCCGTCCTTCTGTCTTACATATAAATAACCTGTGTATGTGCAGTGTGTATGAGGGTATCACAGAGCTCCACAGGAATAAAACTCACAGTAATGTGCAGTGTGTATGAGGGTATCACAGAGCTCCACAGTAATAAAACTCACAATAATGTGCAGTGTGTATGAGTTTATCACAGAGCTCCACAGTAATAAAACTCCCAGTAATGTGCAGTGTGTATGAGGGTGACAGAGCTCCACATCAATAAAACTCTCAGTAATGTGCAGTGTGTATGAGTGTATCACAGAGCTCCACATTGATAAAACTCACAGTAATGTGCAGTGTGTATGAGGGTATCACAGAGCTTCACAGCAATAAAACTCACAGTAATGTGCAGTGTGTATGAGGGTATCACAGAGCTTCACAGCAATAAAACTCACAGTAATGTGCAGTGTGTATGAGTGTATCACAGAGCTCCACAGTAATAAAACTCACAGTAATGTGCAGTGTGTATGAGTTTATCACAGAGCTCCACAGTAATAAAACTCACAGTAATGTGCAGTGTGTATGAGGGTGACAGAGCTCCACATCAATAAAACTCTCAGTAATGTGCAGTGTGTATGAGTGTATCACAGAGCTCCACATTGATAAAACTCACAGTAATGTGCAGTGTGTATGAGTATCACAGAGCTCCACAGCAGTAAAACTCACAGTCACATGATTGACCTGCAGTATGATGCACATAAATAATTTCGTTCTTGTTATGAAAGGGCTCTGTCAGGTTTGCGGGTTTTGTTTTTTAATTAATAGTTTTTATCCCTCTATTTCCCCTTGTCGCCTTTTCTTTAATTGCCCGTAGTTTTTAGATGTGACTCCTTTTTATTATAAGGAGCATTTACAAAGGGCGGAACTTTATCAACGTTCCATTTCAGCTGCCAACGTAATTCACCCACAATCCATCAGTTAAATGAATCCCACAGAAGGCAAAGTGCAGGAAGAAAAGATAATGAATATAAATAAAGTGGCAATGTGGGGAGAGCATTGTAAACATGGTAGTTCTGCTTTACAGGACAACGTCTCGTTCTTTTAACCTTTATTACATTTAATGAAGCTTAATGCTTACTTTTTAGTGATGGGCATTGATTTTTATCTGGCTGAAGATCTATGTTGGGTTTGATTCTACTAACCTGACTTACGGCAGCAGGTTCACACCAAGCACTCACAGCCGCAGAAAGTTAGGGTGAGTCTGACCCAACATGGCCTCTCTGCCAGACAAAAGAAGACAACACACATCACTAAAATCATTCATTTAATGGAATATTTTTAAAAACGAGAAGGGAAAATTTGGCTACAGTTGTCCTTTGAAGTTAATGAGATGTCTGATTTCGGCCCATGTGAGAGTATTGTAGATCTTATTCTGAAATAGCAGAGATGGGAAAATAGCTGATTAGGACCATTTTTCCAGTTCAGTTATTTTGGTATAAAATTTGCAGCTCCCTTGGCAAATCTTCACAATACTGGGTTAAGTGATTAACCATTTAATGTTTGTAGTTAAGATTCGTCAAAAACACTGATTTATACTGATTTTTAAAAGTCCATATTTAGTACCAGCTATCCCCCTATAGATGGCATTAGTACCAGCTATCCCCCTACAGATGGCATTTAGTACCAGCTATCCCCCTATAGATGACAGTACCAGCTATCCCCCTATAGATGGCATTTAGTACCAGCTATCCCCCTATAGATGACATTAGTGCCAGCTATCCCTCTATAGATTGCATTAGTATCAGCTATCCCCCTATAGATAGCATTTAGTACCAGCTATCCCCCTATAGATGACATTAGTACCAGCTATCCCCCTATAGATGACATTAGTACCAGCTATCCCCCTATAGATGGCATTAGTACCAGCTATCCCCTATAGATGGCATTAGTACCAGCTATCCCCCTATAGATGGCATTTAGTACCAGCTATCCCCCTATAGATGACATTAGTACCAGCTATCCCCTATAGATGACATTAGTACCAGCTATCCCCCTATAGATGGCATTTAGTACCAGCTATCCCCCTATAGATGACATTAGTACCAGCTATCCCCCTATAGATGGCATTAGTACCAGCTATCCCCCTATAGATTGCATTAGTACCAGCTATCCCCCTATAGATTGCATTAGTACCAGCTATCCCCCTATAGATGACATTAGTACCAACTATCCCCCTATAGATGGCATTTAGTACCAGCTATCCCTCTGTAGATGGCATTAGTGCCAGCTATCCCTCTATAGATGGCATTAGTATCAGCTATCCCCCTATAGATGGCATTTAGTACCAGCTATCCCCTTACAGATGACATTAGTAGCAGCTATCCCCTTACAGATGGCATTTAGTACCAGCTATCCCTCTGTAGAAGGCATTAGTGCCAGCTATCCCTCTATAGATGGCATTAGTATCAGCTATCCCCCTATAGATGGCATTTAGTACCAGCTATCCCCTTACAGATGACATTAGTACCAGCTATCCCCTTACAGATGGCATTAGTACCAGCTATCCCCCTATAGATGGCATTTAGTACCAGCTATCCCCTTACAGATGACATTAGTACCAGCTATCCCCCTATAGATGGCATTTAGTACCACCTGTTCTCCAATAGAATGCTTTAGTATGGGTTATTACTTATAGATCGCATTAGTGCCAACTATTCTCTATAAATTAGTATTAGATTGGCATTAGTGCCAGCTATTTCATATAGATTAGTTTGACATTAGTACCTTTCATGTTATTGTTATGTAAATGCCAATTGCATTAAGCTTTTATTAATGAATGTATTTGCAGTCATCATGATAAATTATGGATTGTTGGCTGAAAAGAGGAAAGAACAAGGGGCTAAAATCTCTGGGTGATTTTTGTATAAATTTGTAGAAGCTCAGCTCTGATACTGTACAATTCACTAATGCTAATATATACCCTAATACATACTAGACCATGCATCACTAGATGCCGAACCCTATTTTAATTGGTGGGGCCCCTGAAATGATTGTCAATACTCGTAAGATCCAACTTACAGGAATAAAAATGTAACCATGTATAACCTCAAACACTGTAACCAATCACATATATTAATTATTAAATGCACAATAAGGGACTTCATTGCAGCAAATCGATCCTGATGGTTTAATTATTTCATTGAATTTAGCATTGCTTTAAAATGTGTTAATTTGATTTTTTTAAAGGATTGATCCCGACTCCCCTAGATTAAAATGCAAATTGCAGGGTACCACGGCTTCTTGTGTTAAATAGTTCGGTTCTCCAGTGGGTGAATGAGGTTCTCCAAGAAAACAGGTTACACTACATTACAGATAACACCAGGTTAGCATTAACATGCACTAACCAAGACCAATGAGCCATTGACACTCATGCCAAAGTGTAGCCTTGACCTGTGATTAAAATATTGCATAACTGAGACCCACAGGATTATTCACTATAGTGAGAATTCAAAGTGAATTTCTAATATAAGGCCAAAGTAGCCACGTTGAAAGCATAGCTGACTTTATTCTGGTTCAGCTAATTTGACCTTAAGTTTACAAATTACTTTGAATTCGCACTCTAGACAATTACCCTACCTGTGCTTAGGAACCCGTAACCTTTTTCAGTCTTCCATTGCAAGACTGGGAGTGTGTGAAGTTTAGATACCACCCACATCCTGTGTCACTCATTGTTTAATGCTGGTCCCAGTCCTTGTCATTGGATGGATAATGAAACATATTGGGGTTCTGGGCATAATTTGACATCTTCAAAAGCAGCACTCTGCAGCCACAGGCCCCTTAAATTTTTTTAGAAAATGTTTCTCATAAATGTTTGCCAGCCCTTTCATTTTCTGACCCATGAATCTCTGTCCTAAACTAGGGGAGGATTCACCAGAAAGACACAGCGCCACAATGAGTCGAGAGCCTTCCTGGACTTCAAGCAGCCGGGCACGTAGTATCCCACCGAGGATCAGCACTTCATCGCCAGGTAGGGGCAAGGGATACATTTCACATGATGTATTACAGACCATCAGCGATGTACTAGCCATGATATCCGATCCCTCCGGTACGTCCTCTAGGCGTAATATCCCATCCTTCAGACATGTCCTCCAGATGTAATATCCAATCCCTTTGGCATTTCCTCCATATATAATATCCAATCTCTCCTGTATTTCCTCTATTTATAATATCCAATCCATCCAGTATGTCCTCCAGACGTAATATCCAAGCCCACTGGCATGTCTTCCATACATAATATCTCATGCCACCGGCATATCCTCCAGACGTAATATCCGATCTCACCAGCATGTCCTTCAGATGTAATATCCAATCGCTCCGGCATGTCCTCCAGATGTAATATCCAATCCCACCTGCATATCCTCCAGACGTAATATCCCACCAACATGTCCTTCAGATGTAATATCCAATCTCTCCGGCATGTCCTTCAGATGTAATATCCAATCTCTCCGGCATGTCCTTCAGATGTAATATCCAATCTCTCCGGCATGTCCTTCAGATGTAATATCCAATCTCTCCGGCATGTCCTACAGATGTAATATCAGTTCCCTCCGACCTGTCCTCCAGACGTAATATCCAAGCCCACCGGCATGTCTTCCATACATAATATCTCATCCCACCGACATATCCTTCAGATGTAATATCCGATCTCACCAGCATGTCCTTCAGATGTAATATCCAATCCGTTTGGCATTTCCTCCATATATAATATCCAACCTCTCCTGTATTTCCTCTAGTCATAATATCCAATCCATCCGGTATGTCGATCTCCTCCAACATGTCCTCCAGACATAATATCTGATCACTCTGGCATGTTCTCCAGACGTAATATCTGATCACTCCGGCATGTCCTGCAGACATAACATTCAATCCCACCAGCTTGTCCCCCAGACATAAAATCTTATTCCATTAGCATGTCCTCAAGACGTAATATCCAATAGCACCGGCATGTCTTCCAGATATAATATCTGATTCCACTGTCTTGTCCTCTAGATGTAATATCCAGTCCCACCAGCATATCCTCCAGAAGTGTTATAGATTCCTCCGACATGTTCTTCAGATGTAATATCCGATCCCTTCAGACATTATTTCCGATCCATTTGTCAGGTCATCCAGATGTAAAACCCAATTCCACCAGCATGTCCTTAAGACATATTATCCAATCCGTCCAGAATGTCCTCCAGATGTAATATCCAATCCCTCCGACATGTCCCCCAGACCTAATATCCGATCCCACCAGTTTGTCCTCCAGATGTAATATCCAATCTCTCCGGCATGTCCTCAACGTAATGTCTTATACCTCCGGCATGTCCTCCAAATGTATTATAGATTCCTCCGACATGTCCTCCAGATGTATTATCCAATCCCACCGGCATATCCTCCAGACGTAATATCCGATCCCACTGGCATGTCCTTCAGATGTAATATCCAATCTCTCCGGCATGTCCTCCAGATGTAATTTCAGTTCCCTCCGACCTGTCCTCCAGACGTAATATCCAAGCCCACCGGCTTGTCTTCCATACATAATATCTCATCCCACCGGCTTATCCTCCATACATAATATCTCATCCCACCGGCTTATCCTCCAGACGTAATATCCGATCCCTCCGACCTGTCCTCCAGACGTAATATCTAAGCCCACCAGAATGTCTTCCATACATAATATCTCATCCCACCGGCATATCCTCCAGACGTAATATCCGATCTCTCCGGCATGTCCTTAAGAATATTGCACCATAATTAATCAATTTTTTTTGGCATCAGTGACCTAATAAAGATAGCAGAAATTTTTTGTATGAAGCAGCAAACCTAGATTGCTCAGTATTCTGGGAGCTAGATAAAACGAATATTGCACCATAATTAATCAATTGTTTTTGGCATCAGTGACCTAATAAAGATAGCAGAAATTTTTTGTATGAAGCAGCAAACCTAGATTGCTCAGTATTCTGGGAGCTAGATAAAACGCAATTAATGAACCTAAGCTCTGAGTCATAGCTTATAGAGTCTTGCACAGGAGCCCGCTTTAGGCGTTTTGTTTCTTGAGTGTAGCTGTGCTTGCTAGGATCAGTCACTCCATCTACATCCATGCTGTTGGCTGTACAGCTCAAGAAGCAAGTGGTAGTATGTGAATCACTTCCTGAGTTATCACCACTGTCCACATTTGTCACTTGTGGAGATGATGAATGAGACTGTTCGCTGTGCATTTGAGTCCTGTAATATCCAATCGCTCTGGCATGTCCTCCAGATGTAATATCCAATCCCACCGGCATATCCTCCAGACGTAATATCCGATCCCACCAGCATGTCCTTCAGATGTAATATCCAATTTCTACGGCATGTCCTCCAGATGTAATATCAGTTCCCTCCAATCTGTCCTCCAGACATAATATCCAAGCCCACCGGCATGTCTTCCATACATAATATCTCATCCCACTGGCATGTCCTCCAGACGTAATATGCAATCACTCCCTCACCAGCAGCGCGTTACCGACCAATCAATACCGAACAAACAATAGTTAGGTTGCCTTACTCCCTGTATTTAAAAATATGTGTCTGTGGGGTCAGGAGAATAAAATTAAATGTAGACATGCACCCTGATTGCTGTATTTCTCTCTATTCAGTAACTCGTCACCTCCATCTTAGCTGGCTGTCGGTCATTTTTATAAGCTATGTCCTATGCACCTGGCAGTCAGCAGAGAGGAGGAGAAATTAAACTATATTTGTGTTTCTCCTCCAATGCAATGTGTGCCTTGGTGGTGCCAGGACTGAATTGGATTGTGATGTCACTAGTTAAATCTTTAATATAAATTTATAATAAAATGGAGCATCATCTTAGAAGAAGGTTTACCCAACCTTTAGTCACATTTTTAAACTTCCCTCAAAGACTGAGTAATACAATTCAAGGTGATCTGTCTGCAGGGTTACTGCTTTGTCTCCCTCTAGTGATAGAATGTATGTGACGCAGAGGAAATCTTTTTTTAACAGTCAAGATTACAGATGAATATTTTAGAATTCAGTCAATTTAAATTTTAGACTAATTATTTTTTTAATATAAAGTTTGATTATTTTAATTTGTTTTTTGGAACACTCTGTATATAAATATATTTATTACGTTAGATGTGTTCCTTACTAGTTCTAGATTCAGGACTCTTGCTTTGTTAACAGATGAATAAATAAATGTAAAGATTGAGAAGGGTAAGTTAAATGTAGCGCTGGGGCAGTCTCTCAATGCAGGCCGTTCCACCCATTGTGAGGTCATCAGTCAGGCTGATCTGTGCTCAAATCCAAAGCTTTTCATAGAGAGATGTTGCAGCATTTTGCCAAATATGCAGAATATTAAAGGGGCACTCTAAGCACTAAAACAACTTTAGCTTAATAAACCATTTTGGTGTATAGATCACTGCAGTTTCATTACACAAATCTCTGGCATTTAGGAGTTGAATCATTGGTGTTTCTGTTTATGCAGCCCTAGCCAAACTTCCCCTGGATGTGATCATACAGCAAAGTGTGTTTACTTTAGAAGTTAACACCTCTGTTAATTGAACTTTAATCACACACAGGAGGCTCCTGAAGGCTCTTAGCAGACTATTACCATAGCAGGAGATAAGAAATTCTGTAATAAGCAGAATGTACAGTAAAGAGGTTTAAACATTAGATCTCTCTTTACAGGAAGTGTGTAGGTAGGCTATATGAGTTTCATTCTGGTGAGGACTGCATAAACAAAGTGATTTAACTCCTAAATGGCAGAGAATTGAGCAGTCAGACTGCGTGGACATGATCTATACACTAGAACTATGCTAACTTTATTCTTGTGTGTCTCTATAGCAAACCAATTACATATTTGCCCTGTAATCATGCCTTCGTCACTGCATTAATTCCAGTGTATTTTTCCTTTTTAGGGGCGTATGAGTGTGGAATTTGTCGGAAGAAGTACAAGTATTATAACTGTTTTCAGACGCATGTCCGAGCGCACATAGGTAAATCTCCCGTGTTCTTGACAAGTAAGGCACACGTCCGATTACCTGCTCTGTGATTGGTGTTTTTGCGTGTGAAAGAGTCCTGTTAATTCAGTTCTAAAAAACAGCATTGTAGAGAGGATAGTCATGGAACAGACAGAGAAAGACTGTGGAAATTATTTTAGTGCCTGCTCATGTTGCCACCAGAGATGTTCTAACTGAACAAGTTGCATTTGATGAAACTTTAAAACTAATGTATCTCAGCTATGTTTCCAGCTAATGTTTTTCTTTAAAAACCAAAGAAAAGGTTACCTGCGCTCTCTCTCCTAAATCCCTATGTATATTTAAATAAATGCAGGTTATTTAGTAATATGGCAATTGGAGGGAATGCCCGCCTGCCAACGTCAAGGCAGACCCCCCTAGACGGGTCCTACTCTGACCCTTCAGCCTGCTTCCTTGAGCTTCTGGCAAAGATATCTCTAATGAGACAGAAAGGGGTAATTTTTATATTCACCCCTATATACTTATTAACCCTTAATAGGGAACACATGGGATCGGCGGCAGCATTATAACCTATGTGATACAAAAAGTGAATACAAATACCCAGCATTATAACCTAGCTATGTGATACAAAAAGTGAATACAAATACCAAAAAAACAAGTCCTGCGCTCACTCCCATCACTCCTGGGCGGCAGCAACGACCACAGTACACATTAGCCCCAATACATACAGTAAAAACCAAAGAAAAAGTTACCTGCGCTCTCTCCTTAATCCCTATGTATATTTAAACAAATGGAGGTCATTTAGTTACTCCAATAGCCATTGGAGGGAATGCCCGCCTGCCAAACTAAATGACCTCCATTTGTTTAAATATACATAGGGATTTAGGAGAGAGCGCAGGTAACTTTTTCTTTGGTCATCATTTCTAATGCTCTCACCCTGCAAGGTGTTGTCCACATCCACATGGTGGGCCTAATTGTTTTATTATTTAACTGGTCTGTATCCATCTTGAAATTTCTCTTTCATTTTGACTGCGCCAATTTCAGTTGTCAGAACTAGGTCCAATGTGGAGGTCACTTTGGAGTATAGTGAATATGGGGAGATTTGTGTGAAATTAAACTACAAAGGCTCCCTCAAAGCATTTCTTGGATACTTGATTACACTGTAACTGTTGTAAATTGACATTTATTCAAACTTCCATTTACCATAAGAACATTTAAAGGGAACAATTTAAAATGGGCAGTGTGCTTTTAAAGGATGACAAATCAGAGCATCACGTGTTCTCAAGCATCCACCATCACCTCTGTATAACTAATAACAGCGTGAGAATAGAATTATTGCATAATACTAATTCATTCTAACCTGTATTAATAAAAATTGAAATGAATTAATAAACTGAAAATCAGATCATCTCAATCAGTTGGCATAAACAGAAAGAATTGAGCTGGGAAAAGGGAGCGTGCTATGTGAAGGGGAAATTATTGATTTACATTGTCATCCTCCACGGAAAATATCTCAAACACCGTGATTAAAATGTGTAATTAAATCCTATCGGCCAAACAGAGAGATCTGAGCTTTAGAGAAACCAACTGCTTGGAAGATGGTGTAATTAGAGCGTTAGATGCAGACAGAGAATTCATCAGGATAAGAAAAGTCCCTTTATTGGACCTTTTAGATTATTAATGTACGTTCCTGCATCAAAGAGATTATCTTCTAACCGCTCTAATATCATTGGATGGGATTCAAGCAGGATTTTATATGCAAAATGGGAGTTTTTTCATTTATTTATAAAATACGCTGTAACAGCTTTAAAATGCACGCCAAATGAAATCATTATTTTCTCAGCCAAATCATAGCGCCTCATATTCCCACATATTAAATCGTTTGCTGAAGTTCCCCTGTGTGTGGCTCTTGGCTGTCCATCCTTTAAAGGGACAGTAAACCCAGTATCCCATTACATTGGTAGATAATGCCAATAAATGTGTGTTAACCTTCACCTAATACAAGTAATCCCAGCAATGCCTGGCATTCTGTGCAGCTTTTTACATCTGCAAGATCACTCCATTGATCACTAAAGTGAGAATATTTTTGACAATTCTAAGTATGTTTCAAATATAAGGCCAAAGCAGCAAATCTGAATAAAAATTCAGCTTCCAGTTTGGTTACCTTTGCCTTAAATTCCTGAGACATCTTCCTTTAACCCACCTTAAAGTAGTCGTGATTGACAGCTGTAAAGATCTGTAGAAACATATATGTTCACCCAGTCATGTACGGTGATAGCCATTGACCCGTTAATCTATATAATGCTTTTCTGAAAGGTTCACAGGGAAGAGGATTAGAAAATGAAGCTGTCTTACCCATTCTCTGAGTTGTAAAGAACTGTTTTTAGCACTGCAGGATGCCCCTGTAAATAGTTGGCCTCACCAACCTTTACTGATCATTAAGTTCCCCTCGGCTTGCCATTGGGGAAACACGTGGCTGTGTTATATCATCATATTTAAATACAGCTAATCTTGCTTAATGGAAGAATTAAATGTGTCTTCCATAGAGCTTCATTAGTTTAGTAGGTTAACTAAGGGGTAAATTACCATCTAGAGATTACAATAATTATCAACACATTTATGGCTGCCAGTGTCAGTGTGACCACAATCTAACCATGACCATTATCAGTGAAAGGGGGCAATATACCTTATATTAAACATCCACGCTTAAACAATGACAATCGCGCTGCAGAAGAGTTATCAGAAACACTTCACTAATTCAACAACAACAAGGATTTTCTGACAGTTAACCAATACCATGAATTCTGCAATATAACGCTACAAACATCTCCACTGATCTAGCCTGCAAGCAACTATCCCTATAGTATTGTAAGAATAAAATAAGAAATACATATCAACACTATGCAACATATCCTATATGTATATAGCTAAGGACATGCAGGAATAACGATTAATGGTACACGAGTCACCCATTATCATCACCAATGCACTGTACCAGGAATCGGACAGGATGGATTCATTTTGTTTGTTGTTAACCTTGTGATTTCTCCGTAAATAAATAAGGCAAGCCCTTGTTCTATACCCAAAAACCTGTCTAGTCGTGCCCTCGTTCCATACCCGAATACCTGGCTGAACGTGGCCTCATTCCATACCCGAAGGAGCGTGTCCTCATTTCATACCCGGCTGAACGTGGCCTCATGCCGTACCCGAATACCCGACTGGGCGTGGCCTCATTTCATACCTGGCTGGGCGTGGCCTCATTCCGTACCCGAATACCCGACTGGGCGTGGCCTCATTCCATACCCGGCTGAGCGTGGCCTCATTTCATACCCGGCTGAGAGTGGCCTCATTTAATACCCGGCTGGGCGTGGCCTAATGCCATACCCGAATACCCGACTGGGCATGGCCTCATTCCATACCTGGCTGAGCGTGGCCTCATTCCATACCCGGCTGAGCGTGGCCTCATTTCATACCCGGCTGAGCGTGGCCTCATTTCATACCCGGCTGAGCGTGGCCTCATTTCATACCCGGCTGAGCGTGGCCTCATTTCATACCCAGCTGAGCGTGGTCTCATTTCATACCTGGCTGGGCGTGGCCTCATGCCGTACCCGAATACCCGACTGGGCATGGCCTCATTCCATACCTGGCTGAGCGTGGCCTCATTCCATACCCGGCTGAGCGTGGCCTCATTTCATACCCGGCTGAGCGTGGCCTCATTTCATACCCGGCTGAGCGTGGCCTCATTTCATACCCGGCTGGGCGTGGCCTCATACCATACCCGGCTGAGCGTGGCCTCATTTCATACCCGGCTGAGCGTGGCCTCATTTCATACCCGGCTGAGCATGGCTTTATTCCATACCCTGCTTAGTGTGGCCTCATTTCATACCCGAATACCCGACTGGGCGTGGCCTCATTCCATACCCGGCTGAGCGTGGCCTCATTTCATACCCTGCTGAGCGTGGCCTCATTCCATACCCGAAGGAGCGTGTCCTCATTTCATACCCGGCTGAGCGTGGCCTCATTTCATACCCGGCTGAGCGTGGCCTCATGCCATACCTGAATACCCGGCTGAGCGTGGCCTCATTCCATAACCGGCTGAGCGTGGCCTCATTCCATAACCGGCTGAGCGTGGCCTCATGCCATAACCGGCTGAGCGTGGCCTCATGCCATACCCGAATACCCGACTGGGCGTGGCCTCATTCCATACCCAGCTGAGTGTGGACTCATTTCATACCCGGCTGGGCGTGGCCTCATGCCGTACCCGAATACAGACTGGGCGTGGCTACATGCTTCAGGCTGTGCGCGGCCTCATTCCTTACCTGCATACCCCTCTTGTCTGCCCACCCCTGATTCTTGAGTCTTGGCTAGCATCTGAACGTACTGCTGCCTGGATGTTCTCACACTGTGCATTGGTGGCACATTGCTCTGTTCTGCAAAAATAGAGTTAAACCAAACCTACATCTATTACAGCTGCTTATTTCCATATTTATTGCTCATTATGTTATAGCATTAATTTAATCCCATGTATCCTTTATTCCTATCTTGCTGATGCTATTTATCTCTCATTATAACTAGAGTACTGTCAGGTAATAAAACACATTGTGCGTGCGGCAAAGTTTCTGTAACAGCAGGACGCCATTATGAAGACATTATAGAATCATTCCTCTGGCAGAATCTCCCTGGGATTCGCTGTGTTCAGTAAATTAAGTTAAATTGTATCCTCCGTGTCTTGTCAATATCAAGAGATCACATATACCATAAACAAAGAACGATTTTCCAAACATTTTAGCCAAACCGAAAGCATGGCTGATTTGGCTAGTTTGGCTACTGCAGCCTAAAAGGTGGAATTCACTGTACATTTGTAACATTGCACGCTCTAGTAAACAACCCTGATAGTCAGCAAGGCAAGGGTGATATCTTGCCTTTCTGCTTTATGTCTTTTATATTATTAAATTCATAGAAGTAATCGCTTGCTTTATTTCTTATATTTTATCTGAGCCGTACATGATATTTGTTGCAGGGAATTAAAATAATTTGTAGTAAAATGTAGTTGTCTGTACATTCAATCTCACTTTATGCCATTGTTTATGGGTTCTGGCATCGATCTATATGATCCGGATCACCTAGCATGCCCCTGGCTTCCTGTCCCTGATTGGCTGAACTCTGTCAGTCTTTTTAAATAGATGTCAGATTTATTTTTATCTGGCACAAGACTCGGTGATGGCATCAGATTCATTGCTTCTCTCTGCTTTCAAATCGGATTCATTGCTTCTCTCAGCGTTGGATCGGATTCATTGCTTCTCTCAGCGTTGGATCGGATTCATTGCTTCTCTCAGCGTTATATCGGATTCATTGTTTCTCTCAGCGTTGGATCGGATTCATTGCTTCTCTCAGCGTTGGATCAGATTCATTGCTTCTCTCAGCGTTATATCGGATTCATTGTTTCTCTCAGCGTTGGATCGGATTCATTGCTTCTCTCAGCGTTATATCGGATTCATTGCTTCTCTCCGCTTTCAAATCGGATTCATTGCTTCTCCCAGCGTTATATCGGATTCATTGCTTCTCTCAGCGTTATATCGGATTCATTGCTTCTCTCAGCGTTGGATCGGATTCATTGCTTCTCTCAGCGTTATATCGGATTCATTGCTTCTCTCAGCGTTATATCGGATTCATTGCTTCTCTCAGCGTTATATCAGATTCATTGCTTCTCTCAGCGTTGGATCGGATTCATTGCTTCTCTCAGCGTTGGATCGGATTCATTGCTTCTCTCCGCTTTCAAATCAGATTCATTGCTTCTCCCAGCGTTATATCAGATTCATTGCTTCTCTCAGCGTTGGATCGGATTCATTGCTTCTCTCAGCGTTGGATCGGATTCATTGCTTCTCTCAGCGTTGGATCGGATTCGTTGCTTCTCTCAGCGTTGGATCGGATTCATTGCTTCTCTCAGCGTTGGATCAGATTCATTGCTTCTCTCAGCGTTATATCAGATTCATTGCTTCTCTCGGCGTTATATCAGATTCATTGCTTCTCTCAGCGTTATATCGGATTCATTGCTTCTCTCAGCGTTATATCGGATTCATTGCTTCTCTCAGCGTTATATCGGATTCATTGCTTCTCTCAGCGTTATATCGGATTCATTGCTTCTCTCAGCGTTGGATCGGATTCATTGCTTCTCTCAGCGTTATATCGGATTCATTGCTTCTCTCAGCGTTATATCGGATTCATTGCTTCTCTCAGCGTTATATCAGATTCATTGCTTCTCTCAGCGTGGATCGGATCGGATCGGATCATTGCTTCTCTCTCAGCTCTCAGCGTTGATCGGATTCATTATTCATTGCTTTCTCTCCAGCTTTCGCTTCAATTGCTTCAGCGCTATATCAGGATCTATTGCTTCTCTCAGCGCTATATCGGAGCTTCATTCATTGCTTCTCAGCGTTGGATCGGATTCGCTTGCTTCCTCAGCGCGATCGGATTCATTGTTTCTCTCAGCGCTGGATCGGATTCAATGCTTCTCTCAGCGCTTGGATCGGATTCGTTTTCTCTCAGCGTTGGATCGGATTCATTGCTTCTCTCAGCGTTGCGGATTCGCTTCTCAGCGTTATATCGGATTCATTGCTTCTTCAGCGATATCGATTCATTGCTTCTCTCTGCGTTGGATCGGATTCATTGCTTCTCTCAGCGTTATATCAGATTCATTGTTTCTCTCAGCGTTGGATCGGATTCATTGCTTCTCTCAGCGTTATATCGGATTCATTGCTTCACTCAGCGTTGGATCGGATTCATTGCTTCTCTCAGCGTTGGATCGGATTCATTGCTTCTCTCAGCGTTATATCGGATTCATTGTTTCTCTCAGCGTTGGATCGGATTCATTGCTTCTCTCAGCGTTGGATCGGATTCATTGCTTCTCTCAGCGTTATATCGGATTCATTGCTTCTCTCAGCGTTGGATCAGATTCATTGCTTCTCTCTGCTTTGGATCGGATTCATTGTTTCTCTCTGCTTTGGATCGGATTCATTGTTTCTTGTATCGAGGAATTGGATTCTGTGCTTCTCATAGAGCTCTGAAATCTCCCTTTCGTGCCGCAGTCACACAGTAGGAGGCGCTCACAGATCACTCTGTACTGTGTAAGCTGGGAAAGCTCTCTAAATTCTAGTGCAGGGCATGTGTGACCTTTAAAACATATAAGAAGTAAAATAACTTTAGTTGTAGACTGTGCAAAACCAAACAATAATACATAATTCTCAGAAATAGATAATAAGGTAACAAAAAAACATTTATAAAGTAAAAGAACCTTGGTAGGAAACTCACTGCATTTGAGTGGAATATGAGCCACCGCCACTTGAGTAACTCTGGAGGGATCAAACTTCTTGTGATCTTTGGATCCAGCATTATAAACCAGAATACTCGACCAGGACTAATATTTCTTGCAATAATTACAAACTTTCAAATGAAAAAAAGCAGACTGCAGGATGTAGACTATTCTGAAACAGAGTAGCAGCCGGATGTCTCTCGCAGTGTAACAGAGCTTAGCTAAGTGGATCTGCCAGAATCGAACTGCTGACCGTTTCAGTAACTCAGTCGTAGCCATCAGACGCCTCTTGCAATGTGTCTCCCCTGCAGCAGTCCGGTGTCAGCCCACACTGTGTGAGGCGTCTGGTGGCTACTGAGTTACCGAAACGGTGATACAGCTCGGACTCTGTTACACTGAGAGAGAGATCATTCCTGGTCCACTATTCTGGTTTATAAAGGTGGATCCAACGATCACAGGAAGTTTGATCCCTCCAGAGTTAGTCAAGTGAGAGTGGCTCATATTCCACTCGAATAACGTGAGTTCACTACGAAAGTGCTTTTACTTCTCATATGTTTTTTTTGTTTGCTTATTATCTATTTATAAGAATTTTGTCTGCAGCACTTTGTATTATTGCTTGATTATGCACAGATTGTTTTTATTCAGTTTTAGGGAGTCTGTACTGAGTACTGATGACTTAAAGGTAGGCAGACAATGTAATAGAGCAGCAGGAAATGCTAGCAGAATGCTTGGTTGTATAGGGAGAGGTATTAGCAGTAGAAAGAGGGAAGTGCTCATGCCATTGTACAGAACACTGGTGAGACCTCACTTGGAGTATTGTACACAGTACTGGAGACCGTATCTTCAGAAGGATATTGATACCTTAGAGAGGGTTCAGAGAAGGGCTACTAAACTGGTTCATGGATTGCGGGATAAAACTTACCAGGAAAGGTTAAAGGATCTTAACATGTATAGCTTGGAGGAAAGACGAGACAGGGGGGATATGATAGAAACATTTAAATATATAAAGGGAATCAACACAGTAAAGGAGGAGACTATATTTAAAAGAAGAAAAACTACCACAACAAGAGGACATAGTCTTAAATTAGAGGGACAAAGGTTTAAAAATAATATCAGGAAGTATTACTTTACTGAGAGGGTAGTGGATGCATGGAATAGCCTTCCAGCTGAAGTGGTAGAGGTTAACACAGTAAAGGAGTTTAAGCATGCGTGGGATAGGCATAAGGCTATCCTAACTATAAGATAAGGCTAGGGACTAATGAAAGTATTTAGAAAATTGGGCAGACTAGATGGGCCGAATGGTTCTTATCTGCCGTCACATTCTATGTTTCTATGTACTCGCTTCTCCCCTATCACTGATTTTAAATTATCATTAAAAGTTCATTTTTATATTTGTTTTGTTATTTTTTGGTCCGGGCAAATCTTTCTTCTTTCTTCTTTTTTGTCTGTCACACTCAGGGTCCATAGTCGGACGCCATTTCTTCTCCCACCTTGTTCTTAAGTTTCAGATTTTTTTTCCACGTATTTTTGGTGAACGAAATTGTGGAACAATAAGAGCTTTCTAATTAAACCTTAAAGCGATGCACACGTATTACTCCATCCTCACTCACTGGTACTTTAAACTTTGTTTTCACGTCTATATTTTGTTATTGTGTATTTCAGTTTAGGGTTAATGAAGCGTTAGGGGTAACATAGGGTTACGGTTAGTTAGAGTTAAAGGAAGCAATGGGTTAGCGATAGGATTGGCATTAACGATTACAAATGATAGATCCGAGACACCAGGACTAATACTTGAATCGATTGTGAGTTCTTTTTCACTAGTTGCTCTTGATGTGTAAAAGATATTATAAGCAAAACTGTGATAAATGTGTGTTTCCATTTTTTTTTTTTTTAATGTTTAATATTTTATTTAAACTTCATGTTGTGTTAAAACCATACAGGATATTAAAACCATATCTTTCCTTTTAAAGAACAATATTTAATATGTATGGGTGCACTTAAAGTGGAACAAACACATAGTGCAAATTCTAGGTTTTGGTTCAGAAGTTGGGCAATTACCTCCGTCCTTAAGGGGGTAATAAAATTATGTTTGGGGCAAATTAGCACTAATTGTGCCTGGGCTCAAGGATAAGCCCCCAGTAATTGCTTAAGTGGACGGTATTCCAGTAATGGATGAACTTATTGCACTAGTTCATTTTAAAACACATCGTCTCCCTGGCCAGAGTATTGGGGAGACCAGGCCCCGCCACCCTTCTCGCGTACTTCCTTTAAATCTATCTTACTTTGTTTGCAGTGTTTTATCACGTGTTACTTTATACTGTGCGCTAATTTGGCCCTAATTTATTGAGCTGTACAAAATGTCGGACATTTTGTTGCACATGTGACGAGTTTATTTCTCTTTTACTGTCCGTATTTTCAATGTGCAGAGTTATCGCCAGTGAAAACCATATGAACTAAAGGGGAATTTTTTTCCCCCTGATAAATCCTATAGATGTCATGATAAAAGATAAATCTAAACTTATTCAATACTCTAATCCTTTCCACAATTCTTTTTTTTTCTCTCCAGACAATGAAACTGGCTCAGGTGAAGGTGCATCACAGGGAAGTAAGTATGGCATCACCTAATAGATTTAAATGACTTTGTTGGAATACTCACAATGTGACTGCGTATTACTGCACCGTCCTGCTTTCACTCATTTAACCTATTAACAGCAAAGGGTCAATGACATTCTAATGTCCCCTGTAGTGTAAGAGTAGGGTAGGTGTTCAGGTAACCAATTCAGAATATACATGGTGCGTTTTTCTGTAATGATTGAGTGAAGCCGGCCATCTTGGACCTGCATCACATACTACAAACTTTAGGAGGAAGGTAGTGATTAAATTAATAACAAAGACTCTGTTTAGCACAAATTCAGACTGCAGCCAGTTAGAACCTAGGATTTCCCATGTTGAGCTAATCGGCTTCTAGCATCCCACCGTGCGTGGAAGAAGACATATTGCTGCTTGATGCAGAGTGCCCACTGGAAGTCCAATGTAGGTAGGCACCTTTTATTCCTTAATCATAAACATTAAAAGGAAAGTGCCCTTACATCTTTAATATTTATCACAGCAACAGAGGGCCAGTTTTAAGCATAAAATGGTGGTGCACAGAGAAATAAAACCACTTCCAGTAATACAGAAATATTATCAGGCCCCTGCATCGCCCGACTTATCAGGGCTCAAGGGCCATCCTCAGCATTTAATAAATGTCTTCACAGCTCTGAGTGTGTCTCATGTGGGTCCTTAAACAGACTAAGCAGCCCCAGGTGGGTGTCTTTTAGGCCCACCCGTATTTCTAAAATAAAACCTAAAACGTGGAATTGGAGATTAATTTATTGCAGCAATCTCATTGTATTCATTTCATACAAAGTACAGTTCTACGCTAAACCTGTTTGAAAAGTCAATACAGATTGTGTTGTGTGCCTTTGCAGCCGGCGCTGTGTGTTGAGGTAAGTACAATATGTATATCGGTCTCTTGGAACAGACTGTTACCATTTGGAAAGTACTAAGAAATGGGCAAATCCTATTAACATGCAATTAAAATCTAACAAACTGATAGCAGCCGTTAAAACCGACTCAGGCACCTCACTGTGTAAAGTATACATTGTAAATAAATACAACTCTGCAGCATGGTGTTTGTCACGTCAGAGCCTTTTCAGTGCATGTACTGTAAGAAAACATTTTGTTTCAGGATGTGGAGAACCTGCCAGTCCTGTAGCTGGTGATTTGTTTGTAGTGAATGTAGAAAGAAGTTATTGTCTGGAGTAAGGGCCGTTAGTGGGAAATGCCTGAGCCAGTTCGGAATGGATGGGGTGTTGTGTTCTCTGTCTCTTCACAGTGGACTGTTAGATATGGTATAACGTGGAGCTGAGTAAAGAATTGCTCAGATTCCAGTAACTTGCTAATCAGACCCAAGTCTGGGGCTCCTCATATATCCCTGCTTGAGCATAGGTGAGCAATGGCTGCAGGAATTAACTCATCTTTATTTCCATCCTTAAAGCCACAGACTGAATTGTCCTAAATTTACCTTTCCTATTGGTCGGCTTAGCTGCCCCTCCGTCAGCACACAGCCTTTAGATATTGGTCAGCCTCGCTCCGGTGTTGTAAAGTATTATACAGGAATCATACCAGCTTTGCATATTGTCCACCGGCTCTGTTATACTCTGTTTTCATCCTTTTACGCCCTGCTTAGGTGGGTCTGCCCAGCTTGTACATCTGAATAGTAAACAGTTTGCAAGTGTTACATAAATGATGGAGCTGAGCACCTATAAATTATGCTAGGCCAATACCCGGGGCTCCAAAAAAACGGTTTCTTCTTTTATTTTGCATTATTCCAGTTTGTCTGTATTTACAAAAAGTGCAAAAAAAAAACCTTAGAGCAACACTCTGCCTCCATCTCTGCTGCTTTGGAAAGGAAGTTGTTAGATCACCAGTGGCCATTAATTCCAAAAGTGATATTTAATTCATAACAAAATATATGGAACAAGCCATACAGTGACTGGAGGTTCCTTCATGGGACGTTACAGAGCTTGTATCATGGCATATGCTCGACGATTAGCCCATTGAAAGTAGAACTAGGACTGCCCCCAAGATCTCGGCTGATTTTACCAGATATAGGGTGATGTTTTGCAGAATGAAGCACCAGAAGCCACGTCCCTATGCCCTTATCAGAGTATGATTGCAGCACTGAGTGAGCAGCTTTCTCAACCTGACTTTGCATAGTCAGAGAAACTACAAGCTAATAGTGATTGCCTCTTGTAATGCAGGCTGTTTACTTGTCCAGATTGCATACATTGATAAGGAAGTCTTGCTGGAACGAGGGGGCGGCATGGCTAAAAAGGTGCAGCATTCTGCAAAACATTAATTTATTTTATGCAAAAGCTATAGAGATTAGAGCATGCAAAAAATACAGCATGTTAATGAGGCCAAAACCTACTAAATGCATTAAAGTAGTATTGGTGCACGGTTACAGTCAGTCTCCCTTTCAGTAATAAATGTTATAATTCACACTTGTGGTGAGGAGTTTCTTTCTAAAGTCCTGTAAAATGCCTGCCTAATGTGAATATCATGCGCAAGCTGTACTGAATGCCATGTATAGATATTTATATAAAATGTGCCCCATCATCATCTGTGTTTCTGTTTTTTTAATCAAATCACCCTTTCAAATATTTGACGTGTTTGCACGTGGGTTTTAGTGACATAATATGAATTCCTAGTATGGAATAGACATTTTTGTCGTGTTATCTTCAAATATCACATGGCTCTTGCCCTCATTGTATTACATCAGACTGTCGGCTATTTCTATTTAATAATGCATTATCCTGCCTTTTGGAATCAATTGCTGTATGGCTTGATTTTGCTGACAGCCAGTAAGATGGGCCAGTCTCACACTGTTTGCTCCCTCCAACCTCCTCCATATGTGCAGTACCAGACTCCATTATAGCGATACTTAAAGGAAGGTTGTTACTAGACCTGCTCATTATTATGCTACAGTCAGTCTCCCTTGCTGTGAGTAGGTCTAAGTGGACAGTTACAGTCAGTCTCCCTTGCTGTGAGTAGGTCTAACTGGACAGTTACACTCAGTCTCCCTTGCTGTGAGTAGCTCTAAGTGGACAGTTACAGTCGGCCTCCCTTGCTGTGAGTAGGTCTAAGTGGACAGTTACAGTCGGCCTCCCTTGCTGTGAGTAGCTCTAAGTGGACAGTTACAGTCAATCTCCCATGCTGTGAGTAGCTCTAAGTGGACAGTTACAGTCAGTCTCCCATGCTGTGAGTAGCTCTAAGTGGACAGTTACAGTCAGTCTCCCTTGCTGTGAGTAGCTCTAAGTGGACAGTTACAGTCAATCTCCCATGCTGTGAGTAGCTCTAAGTGGACAGTTACAGTCAGTCTCCCATGCTGTGAGTAGCTCTAAGTGGACAGTTACAGTCAATCTCCCATGCTGTGAGTAGCTCTAAGTGGACAGTTACAGTCAGTCTCCCATGCTGTGAGTAGCTCTAAGTGGACAGTTACAGTCGGTCTCCCTTGCTCTGAGTAGGTCTAAGTGGACAGTTACAGTCAGTCTCCCATGCTGTGAGTAGCTCTAAGTGGACAGTTTCAGTCAGTCTCCCTTGCTGTGAGTAGGTCTAAGTGGACAGGTGCAGTCGGTCTCCCTTGCTGTGAGTAGCTCTAAGTGGACAGTTACAGTCAATCTCCCATGCTGTGAGTAGCTCTAAGTGGACAGTTACAGTCAGTCTCCCATGCTGTGAGTAGCTCTAAGTGGACAGTTACAGTCAGTCTCCCTTGCTGTGAGCAGCTCTAAGTGGACAGTTACAGTCAATCTCCCATGCTGTGAGTAGCTCTAAGTGGACAGTTACAGTCAGTCTCCCATGCTGTGAGTAGCTCTAAGTGGACAGTTACAGTCAGTCTCCCTTGCTGTGAGTAGGTCTAAGTGGACAGTTACAGTCGGCCTCCCTTGCTGTGAGTAGCTCTAAGTGGACAGTTACAGTCTCTCCCTTGCTGTGAGTAGCTCTAAGTGGACAGTTACAGTCAGTCTCCCATGCTGTGAGTAGCTCTAAGTGGACAGTTACAGTCAGTCTCCCTTGCTGTGAGTAGGTCTAAGTGGACAGTTACAGTCAGTCTCCCATGCTGTGAGTAGCTCTAAGTGGACAGTTACAGTCGGTCTCCCTTGCTCTGAGTAGGTCTAAGTGGACAGTTACAGTCAGTCTCCCATGCTGTGAGTAGCTCTAAGTGGACAGTTTCAGTCAGTCTCCCTTGCTGTGAGTAGGTCTAAGTGGACAGTTACAGTCTGCCTCCCTTGCTGTGAGTAGCTCTAAGTGGACAGTTACAGTCTGCCTCCCTTGCTGTGAGTAGCTCTAAGTGGACAGTTACAGTCGGCCTCCCTTGCTGTGAGTAGCTCTAAATGGACAGTTACAGTCGGTCTCCCTTGCTCTAAGTAGGTCTAAGTGGACAGTTGCAGTCAGCCTCCCTTGCTGTGAGTAGGTCTAAGTGGACAGTTACAGTCGGTCTCCCTTGCTCTGTCTGAGTAGGTCTAAGTGGACAGTTACAGTCAGTCTCCCTTGCTGTGAGTAGCTCTAAGTGGACAGTTACAGTCGGCCTCCCTTGCTGTGAGTAGCTCTAAGTGGACAGTTACAGTCCGCCTCCCTTGCTGTGAGTAGCTCTAAGTGGACAGTTACAGTCGGTCTCCCTTGCTCTAAGTAGGTCTAAGTGGACAGTTGCAGTCAGCCTCCCTTGCTGTGAGTAGCTCTAAGTGGACAGTTACAGTCGGTCTCCCTTGCTCTGAGTAGGTCTAAGTGGACAGTTACAGTCAGTCTCCCATGCTGTGAGTAGCTCTAAGTGGACAGTTTCAGTCAGTCTCCCTTGCTGTGAGTAGGTCTAAGTCGACAGGTGCAGTCGGTCTCCCTTGCTTTGAGTAGCTCTAAGTGGACAGTTACAGTCGGCCTCCCTTGCTGTGAGTAGCTCTAAGTGGACAGTTACAGTCGGCCTCCCTTGCTGTGAGTAGCTCTAAGTGGACAGTTACAGTCAATCTCCCTTGCTGTGAGTAGGTCTAAGTGGACAGTTACAGTCGGCCTCCCTTGCTGTGAGTAGCTCTAAGTGGACAGTTACAGTCAGTCTCCCTTGCTGTGAGTAGCTCTAAGTGGACAGTTACAGTCAGTCTCCCTTGCTGTGAGTAGGTCTAAGTGGACAGTTACAGTCGGCCTCCCTTGCTGTGAGTAGGTCTAAATGGACGGTTACAGTCAGTCACGCATGCTGTGAGTAGCTCTAAGTGGACAGTTACAGTCAGTCTCCCTTGCTGTGAGTAGGTCTAAGTGGACAGGTGCAGTCAGTCTCCCTTGCTGTGAGTAGCTCTAAGTGGACAGTTACAGTCAGTCACGCATGCTGTGAGTAGCTCTAAGTGGACAGTTACAGTCGGCCTCCCTTGCTGTGAGTAGGTCTAAATGGACAGTTACAGTCAGTCACGCATGCTGTGAGTAGCTCTAAGTGCACAGTTACAGTCAATCTCCCATGCTGTGAGTATCTCTAAGTGGACAGTTACAGTCGGCCTCCCTTGCTGTGAGTAGTTCTAAGTGGACAGTTACAGTCGGCCTCCCTTGCTGTGAGTAGTTCTAAGTGGACAGTTACAGTCGGCCTCACTTGCTGTGAGTAGCTCTAAGTGGACAGTTACAGTCAGTCTCCCATGCTGTGAGTAGCTCTAAGTGCACAGTTACAGTCGGTCTCCCTTGCTGTGAGTATCTCTAAGTGGACAGTTACAGTCAGTCTCCCTTGCTGTGAGTAGCTCTAAGTGGACAGTTACAGTCGGCCTCCCTTGCTGTGAGTAGTTCTAAGTGGACAGTTACAGTCGGCCTCCCTTGCTGTGAGTAGCTCTAAGTGGACAGTTACAGTCGGCCTCCCTTGCTGTGAGTAGTTCTAAGTGGACAGTTACAGTCGGCCTCCCTTGCTGTGAGTAGCTCTAAGTGGACAGTTACAGTCGGCCTCCCTTGCTGTGAGTAGCTGTCAGTAAGTTATATTGCATGGATCGTGGCTTACATCTGTTCTATGGAGGGACTTTCGGGTCATTGTTTTGTCATACGTTCTGCTTTTCAATGTCTTTTTGTGCAGTCCAGTCATTCATCTCAACGTGCTAGCATACATATTTTCATTCTTACAGACAATTTTCGATACACGTGTGACATCTGTGGCAAAAAATACAAATATTACAGCTGCTTCCAGGAGCACAGAGACTTGCATGCAGTGGATGGTAAGTATTCTTCTCATTTCTCACAATCTAGGAATCTGGTACTTAGACCCATTCTGTAACCGTATCATTTCTGAGGGAGACTGGCTCCATTGTGCTGTATAATTATATCCAATAAACGGAGCTCTAATCCCTGATTGTCATCCAAACACACGAATCTCACATGGACTCGTAAATAGGGAGTTATACATTGAATCCAAAATTCCACTTCTCAAGTATTGCTTTCAGCTGGACTGTTTTGGTCTAAATTTGGCAATCCCCTTTTAAATACCCCTCAATTCTTGTTTGGTGAATAAACTCAATAAGTGTGAAGCCATATAGGATTTATATGAAATGTGCTTTTCAGCCCCGAATTTCTTATAAAACTCCATATAGCCAACGATAAGGAGCGCACTGGAAAATGTCTTCCGTCCGCGCACAATATGCGGTACTGTTTCTGTAGTCGTGGGAACCTGCCCTCACTCAGTAATACTGCACTGCCACCAGTAGGGGGCACCATTGAGCACAACCAGGTCTTACAGTAATATATGACCGGGTACTACATAAATTACCAGCACAGTCTATGGATACCAGCACACTTACCAGCATCATACAATCTATTCATCTCTTTAACAAGCCTTTACATCTCTATAAATGTCTTTACTAACCCTGTATATCTAGGATATAGCTCGGCTCTTTACTAACCCTGTATATCTAGGATATAACTCGGCTCTTTACTAACCCTGTATATCTAGGCTATAGCTCTATACTAACCCTGTATATCTGGGATACAGCTCTTTACTAACCCTGTATATCTGGGATATAGCTCTTTACTAACCCTGTATATCTAGGCTATAGCTCTATACTAACCCTGTATATCTGGGATACAGCTCTTTACTAACCCTGTATATCTGGGATACAGCTCTTTACTAACCCTGTATATCTGGGATACAGCTCTTTACTAACCCCTCACAGATATTCGGGATACAGCCTTACTAACCTCAGATATCTGGGATACAGCTCTTACTAACCCTGTATATCTGGGATACAGCTTCCTTACTTTCAACCCTGTATATCTGGGATACAGCTCTTACTAACTATGTATATCTGGGATATAGCTCTACTAACCCTGTATATCTGGGATATGGCTCTTTACTAACCCTGTATATCTGGGATACAGCTATTTACTAACCCTGTATATCTGGGATACAGCTATTTACTAACCCTGTATATCTGGGATACAGCTATTTACTAACCCTGTATATCTGGAATACAGCTATTTACTAACCCTGTATATCTGGGATACAGCTATTTACTAACCCTGTATATCTAGGATATAGCTCTTTACTAATCCTGTATATCTGGAATATAGCTATTTACTAACCCTGTATATCTGTGATACAGCTATTTACTAACCCTGTATATCTGGGATACAGCTATTTACTAACCCTGTATATCTGGGATACAGCTCTTTACTAACCCTGTATATCTGGGATACAGCTCTTTACTAACCCTGTATATCTGGGATACAGCTCTTTACTAACCCTGTATATCTAGGATATAGCTTGGCTCTTTACTAAGCCTGTATATTTGGAATATAGCTATTTACTATCCCTATATATCTGGTATATAGCTTGGCTCTTTACTAACCCTGTATATCTGGGATACAGCTCTTTACTAACCCTGTATATCTGGGATACAGCTCTTTACTAACCCTGTATATCTGGGATGTAGCTCTTTACTAACCCTGTGTGGCGGAACCAGCCTCGCCACTAGGCATTGGAGAAAACTGATTGCCAGCCTCCTGCCATGTGACTATGGCCCCTGGGGTGTATTGCCTGCTCTCCTGTACTGCTGAGTATTGCTACCAACTAGGTGGATTTGGCTATGGAGCTTGTGTAGTGCCCTCTGTTGGTAGCAACAGTAATATGCACTACCTGAATAGCAATACTGGTAATTTGCATATTTGGGTAGATTTGCATATCGCTAATTCTGAATGCAGGAGAGACATTTTGTGTTAATTATGGTCTTCCCCACCCATTTATAAATATGTAATTATGTTATCATAAGTCACTGTATGTTGCCTGCTATGATTTGACTGTTTGTAATTTGATTGAGTTTTCACAGCAATGTTAATGTAATGACCATATGGGCTAGTCCCAAGTAAAATAAAGTTTTAGTCAGTTCTACTTCATTCTCAATTTGGAGTCCTGTTTCTTAATGGGGGAATCTGCTACAAGGGATTGCAATGCCCTGCATATTCCTTTGCTATAATCACTCCTAAGCTCTTTTAAGAGCTCATTCCTGCTTTGCTCTGAAGGAAGAGAGGTTTGGCATGTGGCGGTTGTGGTGTTGGCTAGAGTGCCTGGAATCCTCAAGAAGCGCTAGGAGCATCCATCAACGGAGGTACCCAGTCGGGGTGCCAGGTGATCCGTTACACCGTGTATATATGGGATACAGCTATTTACTAACCCTGTGTATATGGGATACAGCTCTTTACTAACCCTGTGTATATGGGATACAGCTCTTTACTAACCCTGTGTATATGGGATACAGCTCTTTACTAACCCTGTATATCTGGGATATAGCTCTTTACTAACCCTGTATATCTGGGATACAGCTATTACTAACCCTGTATACATGGAATACAGCTATTTACTAACCCTGTATATCTGGGATATAGCTCTTTACTTACCCTGTATATCTGGGATATAGCTATTACTAACCCTGTATATCTGGGATATAGCTATTTACTAACCCTGTATATATGGGATATAGCTCTTTACTTACCCTGTATATCTGGGATATAGCTATTACTAACCCTGTATATCCGGGATATAGCCATTTACTAACCCTGTATATCTGGGATATAGCTCTTTACTTACCCTGTATATCTGGGATATAGCTATTACTAACCCTGTATATCCGGGATATAGCCATTTACTAACCCTGTATATATGGGATATAGCTATTTACTAACCCTGTATATATGGGATATAGCTATTTACTAACCCTGTATATATGGGATATAGCTATTTACTAACCCTGTATATATGGGATATAGCTATTTACTAACCCTGTATATCTGGGATATAGCTATTACTAACCCTGTATATCTGGGATACAGCTCTTTACTAACCCTGTATATCTGGGATATAGCTATTACTAACCCTGTATACATGGAATACAGCTATTTACTAACCCTGTATACATGGAATACAGCTATTTACTAACCCTGTATATCTGGGATACAGCTCTTTACTAACCCTGTATATCTGGGATATAGCTATTACTAACCCTGTATACATGGAATACAGCTATTTACTAACCTTGTATATCTGGGATATATCTACTAACTCTGTATATCTGGAATATAGGTCTGCTCATAACCACTACCCCCCTAAGTGTTACCTGGGTGCAGAAGACGCCGGATAGCTCTATTCACCCTAAGTACATCCTATGCAGAGAGCGGAGCCATTGAGTGTGGCTCTGCTTAGCTCAGTGGAGGGGCTGGAGCCATGGAAGCCTGGTGAGACAGGCAAGTTGTCAAATTGTTCTAAAATAATTTGACAAATAAAACTGGGAGGACACCAGGGAACTCCTATTACCATGACTACTTCAGTGGTCCAATTTATTAAATAGACTATCCTGTAGCTGGGGATGGTTGCTTTTAGCAGTTCTCATACATTACATTTGTAATATGCAAATAATTAAACCATGAATCTATAAGATTGATATTTTATTGAATCAACCAGTTGTGACGAGACCAATCTCGCCACATTGCATTGGAGAAGCCTGGTTGCTCGCCTGCTGCCTCTGGACTATGGCCCCCTGTTAAAAGACATTGTTTCGCCTGCAGAAAAGCTGTATTCGTGTGGTCTGAGCGCCATTCACTTAATAATGTGCGCTCAGACCTGAGCTATCTGGGGATATGTTAAATGTATAGTTTTAATGTAATGTGTCTTATCTGGTGTATTTTAACAGTAATGCTTGTTTTAGTATCCCCATGTGCATAATGGAGAGTTGCCTTTGTCTTGGGAGATAATTGAATTACTTCTCAATTATCTCCCAGGGCAGAGGGGAGGAAGCCAGGATGCATTGTGGGAATATATTGTGACTGTGTGTCCTATCTGTCTGCTTGTCTGTCCCTTGTCACAGTCTCCCATTTGGTCCCCTAGGGGAGTGTCCACCAGGTGGGAGACCTGCATAAATACTGGGCAGGTAGCCCTCATTAAACAGACCACTGCTTGACCCTCAACACGGAGTTCTGTCTCGTCTTTGGGGGGATTTACTGTATGCTGATTGCCAGGAGCGTAAGCTACTTGGGTGTTTTTCCTGTCTTCGCCTGCTAGCAGCTATTCGTGAGGTTCCAGTTCAAGGTGTTTGGAGCATTCCTCCCCTTGTATGCAGTTCCTGAAAGTGTTTGGAGACTCCCTTGTATGCCGCTCTCAGTGTTTGGAGCATTCCCCTTGTATGCAGTTCGGGTGTTTGGAGCATTCCCTTGTATGCAGTTCGGTGTTTGGAGCATTCCCCTTGTATGCCGCTCGGGTGTTTAAGCATTCCCTTGTATGCCGCTCGGTGTTTGGAGCATTCCCTGTATGCCGCTCGGGTGTTTGGAGAATTTCATGCCGCTCTTTTCCTCGGGTGTTTGGAGCATTCTCAGGCGCCGCTCGTGTTTGGAGCATTCCCTTGTATGGAAGTTTGGGTATTTGGAGCATTCCCTTGTATGTGCCGCTCGGGTGTTTGGAGCATTCCCTTGTATGCCGCTCTGGAGCATTCCCTTGTATGCCGTTCGGGTGTTTGGAGCATTCCCTTGTATGCCGTTCGGGTGTTTGGTGTTCTGCAGTAGCTGTGCCTGCATCTCTGGAAAGGGGGCCGATCGCCTAAATGGTTTTTACCCCTTTTGTCCAAAACGGTCCGTTACACAGGTGGTTTGGGGTAAATGTTTGTAACATGATATCATTGTGGATTAATAATCCCACTTAGTGCAGATGTCATCATATTACAGTAAGTGCTATACTTGCTGCCCTGTAAACTGTCATTTTGGCCTTCCCAGATTTGCATCATCTGTTCGCTGTCTTGAACCGACTCTTAATTGTATATTGATTTAAGGTTTACTCCTAACACCATGACCACTTCATTGGTTTAAAATGGACATGGTGCCTGGAATCTGTGTGTGCAGAGTTTCACTTTGAAACAATTTCCAAGCTGGTTAATGTCAATTGTGTGCCACCCCTGCCCTTGCTGACTGGCTTTTTACTAACCCTGGAACGGAGGTAAGTTTGGGATTTTAGTTAGTTAGTTGGGGGGTGGGTGGGTTGGACAATCTTTAACCAAACACCAGTTTTGTTTGGAGTAAGCTTTTAAATTTGATGCCTTGGCATTGATCTAGTTAGTGCAGAGTCCTGTCCATTCATTAAAGAGCCCGGTTTCCTCCTGCAGAGTATAGACACAGTGCAAGCTGTGTAATAAACAATAATAATACATTAAAGGATATTAGTTTTATTTCGTCCACGTGGCTGTGCTGGTAATTTGGGACTGTGCTGGTACATGCAGATTATTTAGGATTTATTACATGAATGAATCGTGGTCTAAATTAAAACGCCCTAAACTATTCTAGTAAATTGGTTGTTTGTTAATGAATGTTTCACTTTTTGTTCCTTTTATTTCCCCCATATTTATTTTGATGAGGTTGAGAACATACATTTATATCTTTTATTTTTATCTTTTTTTTTTTTTTTCCTTTTTTTATCGTTCCTTTTTTTTTAGACACCTATATCCATATGATGGTAACTTCAGGGGACGCAAAAGAAGAGGACCCTGAACCGTTTCTGAAACTTGGTCCAAGTATGATCGCATGTGGCTTGTAGTGTGTTGGGCTGTGTACTTCCTATGGGCACTTCTCATGGTCGTAGACGCTCCTCATGTTAATGTTTTGAACCCTTACTCCCCTGGATTTTTTTATTTGGCTGTGTATAATGTCCAGCACATAACAGCCTGCCAATGCATTTAGTCTGCTGTTTAGCAATACCTAAAACTGTAAGTTTATGTAAATGGAGTCCGTTTTAAATCAATAAAGTGACACAAATGAGTCGAAGTGCTGCCTACTGAAGACCAGTGTTGGAACAGATGAAGAGGGGACATAATGCACACGGGGGTGAGAATAAAACCCTATCCTGTATGTTGGTACAGACATGGAATGGGCTTGACAAATTTACTTTTTATTAAAATGCTATAAGACTACAAGTGACTACAGGATATCAAATATCGTAGAGTAATCAAAGCCTGTGGAGCCTCTGCTCTAGTTGTAGCTCTGTGCATTGGGTATAGAGCTATGTTTGTTCCTGTGTTGGAAGACGATATAAAGTATTTTTAATGTTTTGTTTTGTAGATTTTGTCAGCAGCTTTAGGTGGAGAATAAAATGAACAAATGTGAGGTCACTGAGAATTGAATTAAATCCCACTTCCTTCGTTCCGTTACACAATTCTTCATTTTTAGGATTTTTCTTGATATTTTGTGAAAGTTTACCTGGAATATCACAGACCGAATGCTGAGCTGGTAGCTGCGTGAAGATTTTAAGCGTGTCTGTAGAATTTGCCCATTTCTAATATTAATAAAGTGAATTATGCTTCCAGATAGGGGTAAACACGTACTGTAGATCTCAAGGTAACGACACGGTGCCCAGTTATTCCTAGAACTCATTTGATGGGTTTTCTGGCCCTGATAAAAGTGTTCCATTTTCTTGTAATTAGTATAATGGCTCCCATGCATTATGTTAATTAACCATTCCTGTCTGTCAGGCAAGTTTTAGCACGGATTAAAGCGACACTGATTCCTGCCTCTCTCTCTTTATTCAATTCCTGCAGAAACCGGTAACTACACTTGTGAATTCTGCGGAAAGCAGTACAAATACTACACTCCGTATCAGGAACACGTGGCTCTCCACGCGCCTCTCAGTGAGTATAGTTTTTAGCTGCTCTCTCTCCAACTTGCAGTCCATTGCAATTTCAGGATGAATTCATTTTTCATCTCAACTCAAGGCACAGGTTAATGCATAAACCCTGGTGAAGTGCAAACAATAAGCTGCACCTACACCTACAGAACTTAATAAGATTGGATATATTTAATTCTGCATTATAAACCCTTTGGGTGTCAGCCATGATCTCTTATTGCAATTATTGATTCTGTTTTCTCCCCACTAGAGGGCACATTCAGCCACGACATAGAACACAAAGTACCAAACAACTATGAAGAAACAAACAGCAACTCTCAGCATTCAAGCGGTGAGTGTGTGATGGAGTGATCGCACAGGACTGCTGGTCACACTGTTACTGCCATGGCTGAAAGTATTTTACAATGAATGTTCGGCCATCGTATAATCCTTTCTGCTAATTGGATAACATGGTAAAAACACCAAAGAGTGCCAATTATTGCACCTCTAACCCGGGATGTCTCCACCATGGGACTGATTGCCTCACTGTTGTTTAATGGATATAGAGAGATTTTTTTAATGTGCATTTTAACTTAAGTGCAACTGATCAGTACGGCAACATAAGTTTTTTTTGATAATGTTTTATACCCTGAATCAGTCAATTCAATGAAACCGGTCAGTACACGGCACATTTCCTGTTTTTTTTTTTTTATTATTGTTACACTATGATCAGAGGCGTCTTTTTACTTAGGATCTCTGAACCAGAATAGTGGCATTATTTTTTTGTATGTAATGCACGTGGAACAATATTTGGTGGGATCTCACATACCACGTGTAGTACTATACTATTACTGTACTGCTTTCTGAGCCCTTTTCACTGTCTTACAATGAATTGCCAGATTCAGAGTGTAGTAAATTACCTGCAGGATCTAACACATTAACGTGGCCTTCCCATCAGGTTCCAGCAGAACGCACAGAATGTCAGACATGGTGGTAGCCGGGAATATTACAGCCTGGCAGAAAGGTGAGTTCAGTGTTAGCTATGTACAGCCACACAAAGCTTACTTACAGAGCTGGAATACCACGAGACACACAGCAACTTACAGAGCAGAAACTAGAGATACAGGGATACCACGAGAGACGGGGCACATACATAGCAGAAACCCATGAGATACAGCCAAACACAGAGCAGGAATACCACGAGAGAGACCGCCACATACATAGCAGAAAATCCAGAAGAGATACAGCTCTACACAGAGCAGGGATACATAGCAGAAAATCCACGAGAGATACAGCTATACACAGAGCAGGAATACTACGAGAGAGACAGCCACATACAGAGCTGAATTACCAAGAGAGACAAAGCCACACACAGAGCAGGAATACCACGAGAGACACAGCCACATACAGAGCAGGAATACCACGAGAGACACAGCCACACACAGAGCAGGAATACCACGAAAGACACAGCCACACACAGAGGAGGAATACCACGAAAGACACAGCCACACACAGAGCAGGAATACCACGAGAGACACAGCCACATACAGAGCAGGAATACCACGAGAGACACAGCCACACACAGAGCAGGAATACCACGAAAGACACAGCCACACACAGAGGAGGAATACCACGAAAGACACAGCCACACACAGAGCAGGAATACCACAAGTGAAGAACATTATTTGTATAGGAATATAGAATATAAATTGTAAAAATGATAATTTTGTCCTTTTGATTACTTTAGAACCGGCCAATCAAATTATTCCCAGTTCATTTCCATTATTACAAAGTAAGTTCCTGTGTTCCTGTCCATGTGTTTGTTGTAACATTATTGGGATTATACCTCTCTGATTCCCCCCCCCCCCTTTCTGTAGAGGGATAGTGAGTCCATGTTTTCTATGGAGAATATAATTCAGTTTGGAAGCTGGCGTAGTGTGTGGCATATTTCAGAGGGCGTCATACAGTGCTGGCTGCTTTGTATAAATAGACTGAAACTGAGATACGTCATCCCGATCACAGTGTATCGCTATCTGGGTTTCTTACATGTGACTGGGCGTAATGTAATATAGCTTGTGCGGTTTTACCGTTTACTACGTAGTAGAATTGTTCATTAATTTTCAGACATAATTGATCAAGAATCCAGGACTCTCTTTGAAAGGCTTTACTTTATCTGAGATTTAATGGAACTTCTTCTGTATTCTGTGTTTCTTGTGGTTTGCACGCCTCCTCAAATGGATTAACATTGTCACGCCTTAGTAAAGGTTATCTTGTCTCTCTCGTGGCTTATCAGACATTACCTGAGACAGGGCAGCTTTTACTTAAAGTAAAGTATTCCTTATACATGGTTTGGCTCATTATTCACAGTATTTGGATAAGTATGGTGGTCAGTGCTTGATGGCATATGTGTGTGGTTTGGCACTTGTCACAGTTACAGTAAGTTTTATTCTCCCCTCACCATCTCTTCTGGATACTGAGGACATTCTGTGGCCAGCAATCTTGTCCTCCAATACTTTCTGGCTCCTTAGAAGCTGTACAGGTTATGTAGGTGGGTCTAGGATGAGCCCCTTTCAGTAGGGTTCTTGGGGATAGATTTCAGCCTTGTAGCATTGTGTTTAAACACCTGCAGTTGAGAAGCATTTAGTAACAATATTCATTGTGTTTCTCTTGAATCTTCCGAGGCAAGGGATGGAAGAAAAAAATAAAAAGAAAAGAGGAACCGAGTAACAAGCCAGTGAAAGAAGAGAAAGGTGCTAAAGCAGAAGGTGCGTCATCAAGACAGGGGGCTCATCCACATTGTCACTCTGGCCCCACCGAGTCTGTAACGCACGCCTGTTACCCTTAGCCAGAGGTCATTTACCTGTATATCCAGAGAGGAAATTAATACTCAGCCACACTACTGATAAACCTACATCATCCAGCAGTCGCAGTGGGTAACCAGTCAGCCATTATCGCTGTATTCAATCAGACACACAGTAACCAGTCAGCCATTAACGCTGTATTCAATCAGACACACAGTAACCAGTCAGCCATTATCCCTGTACTCAGCGCAGTCAGACTCACTATCTGACACAGTAACCAGTCAGCCTTATCCCTGTACTCAGCGCAGTCAGACTCACTATCTGACACAGTAACCAGTCAGCCATTATCCCTGTACTCAGCTCAGTCAGACTCACTATCTGACACAGTAACCAGTCAGCCATTATCCCTGTACTCAGCGCAGTCACACTCACTATCTGACACAGTAACCAGTCAGCCATTATCCCTGTACTCAGCGCAGTCAGACCCACTATCTGACACAGTAACCAGTCAGCCATTATCCCTGTACTCAGCGCAGTCAGACTCACTATCTGACACAGTAACCAGTCAGCCATTATCACTGTACTCAGCGCAGTCAGACTCACTATCTGACACAGTAACCAGTCAGCCATTATCCCTGTACTCAGCGCAGTCAGACTCACTCTCTGACACAGTAACCAGTCAGCCATTATCACTGTACTCAGCGCAGTCAGACTCACTATCTGACACAGTAACCAGTCAGCCATTATCCCTGTACTCAGCGCAGTCAGACTCACTATCTGACACAGTAACCAGTCAGCCATTATCCCTGTACTCAGCGCAGTCAGACCCACTATCTGACACAGTAACCAGTCAGCCATTCTCCCTGTACTCAGCGCAGTCAGACTCTCTATCTGACACAGTAACCAGTCAGCCATTATCACTGTACTCAGCGCAGTCAGACTCACTATCTGACACAGTAACCAGTCAGCCATTATCCCTGTACTCAGCGCAGTCAGACCTACTATCTGACACAGTAACCAGTCAGCCATTATCACTGTACTCAGCGCAGTCAGACTCACTATCTGACACAGTAACCAGTCAGCCATTATCCCTGTACTCAGCGCAGTCAGACTCACTATCTGACACAGTAACCAGTCAGCCATTATCCCTGTACTCAGCGCAGTCAGACCTACTATCTGACACAGTAACCAGTCAGCCATTATCACTGTACTCAGCGCAGTCAGACCCACTATCTGACACAGTAACCAGTCAGCCATTATCACTGTACTCAGCGCAGTCAGACTCACTATCTGACACAGTAACCAGTCAGCCATTATCCCTGTACTCAGCGCAGTCAGACCCACTATCTGACACAGTAACCAGTCAGCCATTATCCCTGTACTCAGCGCAGTCAGACCCACTATCTGACACAGTAACCAGTCAGCCATTATCCCTGTACTCAGCGCAGTCAGACTCACTATCTGACACAGTAACCAGTCAGCCATTATCCCTGTACTCAGCGCAGTCAGACTCACTATCTGACACAGTAACCAGTCAGCCATTATCCCTGTACTCAGCGCAGTCAGACTCACTATCTGACACAGTAACCAGTCAGCCATTATCCTGTACTCAGCGCAGTCAGACCCACTATCTGACACAGTAACCAGTCAGCCATTATCCCTGTACTCAGCGCAGTCAGACTCTCTATCTGACACAGTAACCAGTCAGCCATTATCCCTGTACTCAGCGCAGTCAGACTCTCTATCTGACACAGTAACCAGTCAGCCATTATCCCTGTACTCAGCGCAGTCAGACCTACTATCTGACACAGTAACCAGTCAGCCATTATCACTGTACTAAGCGCCGTCAGACTCACTATCTGACACAGTAACCAGTCAGCCATTATCACTGTACTCAGCGCAGTCAGACTCACTATCTGACACAGTAAGCAGTCAGCCATTATCACTGTACTCAGCGCAGTCAGACCCACTATCTGACACAGTAACCAGTCAGCCATTATCCCTGTACTCAGTGCAGTCAGACTCACTATCTGACACAGTAACCAGTCAGCCATTATCCCTGTACTCAGCGCAGTCAGACTCACTATCTGACACAGTAACCAGTCAGCCATTATCCCTGTACTCAGCGCAGTCAGACCCACTATCTGACACAGTAAGCAGTCAGCCATTATCGCTGTACTCAGCGCAGTCAGGCCCACTATCTGACACAGTAACCAGTCAGCCATTATCGCTGTACTCAGCGCAGTCAGACCCACTATCTGACACAGTAAGCAGTCAGCCATTATCGCTGTACTCAGCGCAGTCAGACCCACTATCTGACACAGTAAGCAGTCAGCCATTATCACTGTACTCAGCGCAGTCAGACCTACTATCTGACACAGTAACCAGTCAGCCATTATCCCTGTACTCAGCGCAGTCAGACCTACTATCTGACACAGTAACCAGTCAGCCATTATCACTGTACTCAGCGCAGTCAGACTCACTATCTGACACAGTAACCAGTCAGCCATTATCACTGTACTCAGCGCAGTCAGACTCACTATCTGACACAGTAACCAGTCAGCCATTATCCCTGTACTCAGCGCAGTCAGACTCTCTATCTGACACAGTAACCAGTCAGCCATTATCACTGTACTCAGCGCAGTCAGACTCACTATCTGACACAGTAACCAGTCAGCCATTATCGCTGTACTCAGCGCAGTCAGACTCACTATCTGACACAGTAACCAGTCAGCCATTATCCCTGTACTCAGCGCAGTCAGACCTACTATCTGACACAGTAACCAGCCAGCCATTATCACTGTACTTAGCGCCGTCAGACCCACTATCTGACACAGTAAGCAGTCAGCCATTATCGCTGTACTCTGCGCAGTCAGACCCACTATCCGATATACTGACAGTGACACACAATAACCAGTCAGCAGGAAGCGCAGATACTGAGACGCCGTTATATATTTATACAAGGATTATGAGTAGTTATTGTTGCATGTACAGAGGACATGCAGTCATTCAGTCACAATGCGCCTTATTGCACAGTCTCATATAAAATGTATAAAAGTAATAAGGGATACCACCCTTGCCTTGCAGATCTTCCAACCTATAAGACTGATCTTCGATTTGGCTCATGGAGCTTGCAGCCGCAGATTATCATTAACGGCAAATAGACAATCTGCGGGTATTGAGGGCTCACATACAAATAGTACAAAAAAATGAAGGAATAAAAAGTGTGTTGTAGGCTTTTTATTTTTAAACCACTTCAAAGGTGTAAAAAACAAATATTTCCTCTTATGTGTGCATTAAAAAGAGAAAAACGAAATGGAAAGAAATGCACAAAAAGTGCTCATTTCTGATAGTTAGGTAACGTGGGATAGTAGTAGCATAACCAAAAGATCATTTCATTGTGTGATACGTCTAGAATTCAGAATTCCATATCTAAACGTAGACTTTGGCCCAACGAGTGTCGCATTCTCCCCAGCGAACACAACTGGTATCCCTTTTACGCCGACGCCTCACATTGAGGTTGTGGCCAAGCGCAGACACTGTTGGGTGAAATGTACCAATGACCTTATTAACCACACAGATTTCAAAAAGAGGTAAATTGCCCAGTTTAGTGAAAAGGACATGTTTCCAGCTTGTTAGTGAAAGCTCTCGGTTGCCGTCTGTAATTCGCGTGGACGGGTTAGGAAGGTAATGCACTGTTTTGTTAAGCTAGTATTTGTGCACATACAGTAAATTCCACACCCAGACAAACCATGTGGAATATGTAAGGAATGCGTGAAAAATAGCTTGCTTTACAAGCAGCTGTATAACTAATAGGAATGTCATATTGGAGATCTGTTGAAACAATTAGTGACAAACATTATTTTGTTTTTATAGTAACTTGTTTGCAGTTTATTGTATTTGTGTATCGAAGAGACTAATGAAGGGTTAATGTAAATGTGCATAGCTATCTAGCAGCCATGACCGTGTGGCAGAACGCATTCTAATACAGAAATACGTTATTGTGCTTAATATAATCAGTGTTACATTTTACACAATTCTGTCTGCTGTATCGGTAAATACCTCATAGACTTTACAGTCTATACATGTTATTAGCTAGTAATATCCCACAGAGTTTACATTCTATCATTATAATCTAGTAAGGCCCACAGAGCTTACATTCTATCATTATAATCTAGTAATGGCCCACAGAGTTTACATTCTATCATTATAATCTAGTAATATCCCACAGAGCTTACATTCTATCACTATAATCTAGTAATGGCCCACAGAGTTTACATTCTATCATTATAATCTAGTAATGGTCCACAGAGCTTACATTCTATCATTATAATCTAGTAATATCCCACAGATCTTACATTCTATCATTATAATCTAGTAATGGCCCACAGAACTTACATTCTATCATTATAATCTAGTAATGGCCCACAGAGCTTACATTCTATCATTATAATCTAGTAATGGCACCCAGAGCTTACATTCTATCATTATAATCTAGTAATATCCCACAGAGTTTACATTCTATCATTATAATCTAGTAATATCCCACAGAGTTTACATTCTATCAGTATAATCTAGTAATATCCCACAGAGTTTACATTCTATCATTATAATCTAGTAATATCCCACAGAGCTTACATTCTATCATTATAATCTAGTAATATCCCACAGAGTTTACATTCTATCATTATAATCTAGTAATGGCCCACAGAGTTCACATTCTATTATTACAATCTAGTAATCTTAGCTGTACTCTGAGCTTTATGGAGTTAGGACACAGAGAGGCCATGGAGAAGCAGCCTTGAATTTAACCTCCTGTTTTTCACACACAGCCAAAATAAGCATGTCTCCGCTTTAAAATAAATTGTACGTATAACACAAATTCCAATTTCCCCTTTATGCAAGCTCGCTCTGATAGAAAGTTTGTGTCCTCTCCTGCTTCCTGTTCCGTGCTGTCCTCACGGCAGCCACTGTCTCCACTATCAGGAGAGCATTACAACTTTGTGTGGACACACTCCTGTCTTGGTTATAATCCATTTAATGTGTGTCTGGGGAATAGTCTGATCGGGGTTTGAATCTGTGAGATATGTATGGATAATAAGAAAGTGGGTCTATTCATATATTTACAATGTAAAAATATCAGGAATGGACAGAGGAAATATAGTCCTATCTAGGCAAAGGAGACTTCTGAAGGGTTTCTGCATGATCGTTATTCCTTCCAGATCTTGTATGCCCAGTCAGTTCTTAGATGTAGGAATGAACCACCCACTCGGAGCACAGATGTCGGAGTGAGCCACCCACTCGGAGCTCAGATGTCGGAGTGAGCCACCCACTCGGAGCTCAGATGTCGGAGTGAGCCACCCACTCGGAGCTCAGGTGTCGGAGTGAGCCACCCACTCGAAGCTCAGATGGAGTGAGCAACCACTCAAAAGGGAGTGTTGTCCCACCCCAAGGGGATATCCTAGGGTGAAACAAGATGTTAAGGCCACTCCCCCTGCACCTCCCAGATCAAAAGAAAAGTCACTTAAATAGTGCTTCCAATTAGGGGGTAACCCTGCAGCTAAACTACTGACAATGAGAACAAAAATCCCAGTGTCACCAATTGTGGGATACACTGGGAGGAAGCACAAAAGTATTGTAAGTGGCCAAAAAAAACACCTTAAACTTTATTCTCAATGATACAAAAAAATAATGGTCCACTTAAAAAGAAAATATAAATCGTATTAAAACAGGGGTATAAGAGGTGGCTGGTGTCCACTTCTGGACAGGTAGGGAGGAGGGTAATTACAAAGAGCGGTAGGAGGTCTGCATCCTTAAACTAGACCCATCCAAACCTCCCCTGTACACTGTGTCCCAAAACGCCAGAGAGGGAACCAGGAGGTTGCCAAAGATAAAGGTTCTACAAATTCCCCATTAATAAAAAATCTCTCGCTGTCCCTGTATACCTCGGCACCGCACAGAGCTAATGCTTACATGAACAAGTAACCCTGAACACTCAAAACAAAAATTCAAATGTGCATAGTGCTACCCAAGTGTAAATTGACAATAAGAGCTTGATGCGCGTTTCAGCGTGCTAAGACGCCGTCGTCAGGAGCAGAGTGGCCTTAGGTATCCTCTGAGTTGGTTTAAACACCCAGCCCTCAATTAGCCATGTGTGAATGATCCGATAATCAGACGGCCCACAAGCCATTCGAAGGAAGAGGTGTGGCAGCCTGAAGGTATGAAGGAAGGTCCAATCTTCCTTTATTTGCTGAATACAATTCTCTGAGTGTATCACTCAGAGTTCAGATGTTGGAGTGAGCCACCACTCAGAGCTCAGATGCTGGAGTGAGCCACCCACTCCGAACTCAGTTGTTGGAGTGGCTCATTATGAGACCTGGTTAAAGAGCTCACAGTCTATCGTACAATATGAGACCTGGCCAAAGAGCTTACAGTCTATCGTACAATACGAGACAGGCGTAAAGAGCTTACAGTGAGTCGTGTGATGTAATACTGGATCCACACTGGTGGAATAAACTAATTTAAAAATACCTATTACTTTCATTCTTATAGTTTAATGAGCTTGGTCAAAGAGCTTACATACATCCTAGTGGTATAATGAAAAACCTGCATCAGTTTTTTCAAACTGTAGCAAATATCTCGTCTCCTTCCATCTGTCAGTAATTCACATGGAATTATGTCTGTTTCTTAGCTGCCATACATATGAGTATATTGGTTATTGCCTTGTGTGATCTGAACCCAGAGGGCTTTTAACCTAAAACTACTTCTAATCCTTCCTGTGGCTACTGAGAGATAGACATGATGGTTTGTGTCAGGCATGCTATCTCCTAACTGCTTCTTAATGCACCCCACATGGCAAATCGAAAATAGAAGAGGATGGGTCATGACCCAGATGGGGGCATGTAAACACACTTAACAGGAAGCAACATCTTATACAAAGTGTCACAAACTGTAATCAATATGGAAATAAGTAAGATGTTGCAAAGTGTACTGGTCTCCACAGTCTGTTCACTACTTTGCCCTATTTTTTTGTTTGCAACACTTTAATCTCCCCTATAATATTGAAATAAACATTTATCAACCCCTGAAACATGGTGTTACATAATGTAGTATAACACGATTTACCCTGTGCTCAGTAAGCATTTAATATAGCTCCTGGCCAATCACCACGATCAGTAATCCTCTACTCACCAATCCCAAGCATTGTAATGTACTTAGCAGTGAATTGCAAGCTCTTCTGGGCAGGGTCTTGTATTAAACCACCAGTAATTACAATTAAGTACAATTCTTGTTTGTGCATCTCTTAAGGCTCAGTCTGCACGGCCTTCAGCTTGGCACAATTAAACCGTACCATTCAGAAAGCCTTAGCTCCTTCTAGTGGTTAGGGTACAAGCTTTCCGCAAACATTGAGTGCAGCCATCAGACCCAGGCTAGGCCGGCTGCCAATCAGACCCAGGCTAGGCCGGCTGCCAATCAGACCCAGGCTAGGCCGGCTGCCAATCAGACCCAAGCTAGGCTGATGGCCAATCAGATCCAGGCTAGGTAGGTGGCCCAGGGATAGATGCAGGTTTTGTCATTTCCAGTTAGTGTGCTTACATGGCGTTGACAGAACTCTTTGTAAAACCCGCAAATTGTTTTCTCACAGAGCCCTACACTTGCGGTGCATGCGGAATTCAGTTCCAGTTTTACACCAATCTGCTGGAGCACATGCAGTCCCATGCCGGTGAGAAGATCTCCCATCTAGAGGCATTTTAACATGGCACGGTTTCTGTACTTAGGTTATTTACCATGTTTTGGGTTAGAATTATTTAAGGCACCTCAAGACTAGGTGAAACCAGAACAGTATCTTCACCGTATAAATTACTCTCCCTCGCATACCGATGAGTTGTTTCCGTTCTTCTAAACTGACCGCTAGTGGAGATAGGGATGCCCTGCATGCACTCAATGTAGCTGCCAGTGCCACTTCATCCTGCTCGTTCTCTGTTCAGGGATAGTGGCTCTGCACAAGAGGTGGGGTTGTTTTATTTTTACAAGAAAAAAATAATATAAACATTGAGGTCATCAGAGAGATTGGTAGGGACTCATACCTGATCTCTCTGCTTGCTGTGGTATTTTACATACCAGCTCTCCTCCTCACGTTGTCACTTGAAACATGGGTTGACCTACAAACACTCAAACTTTTCTCTTTTTCTTTTCTGTTTTTCTTTCCTTTTAGCTGACAATGAAAACAATGTTTCCTCGAATCAGGCCAGATCTTTACCACCTGTGGAAGAGAACTGGAAGCCTCAAGTTCAAAGAAACAGCACCAATAACAGTACCCATTCTTGTGAGTTGCATGGTTGGTGGTTGAAGTGGGATACAGATTAGTTGTTTCTTCATTACCTTCTATATGTTTTCTTGTAGTGAATGGGAAAACCAGTTTGTAGTTCTGTTAACATCGGGCAGAAAATGCTGTCTTTGAATTGATCACAGACATTTCCCCTCACTTTTGAGGGGAAAAAAAGTGCGTCTTATGGAGCGAAAAATACGGTACTTTACTGGGGTAGTGGATGCATGGAATAGCCTTCCAGCTGAAGTGGTAGAGGTTTACACAGTAAAGGAGTTTAAGCATGCGTGGGGTAGGTGAAAGGCTATCCTAACTATAAGATAAGGCCAGGGACTAATGAAAGTATTTAGAAAATTGGGCAGACTACATGGGTTGAATGGTTCTTATCTGCTGTCACATTCTATGTTTCTGAAAGGACTATTATCCTGTATTGACACTTCTAGACATGTCTAGTGAGGCATCTGATGGCAGCGTGACATAAGAGCCCTTGCTGCTGCATAGGGTAAAACCTTTATATATCAGGGGCTGGTAATATACAAAGAAGGACCATTATCTTGTATTGACACTTCTAGACATGTCTAGTGAGCATGTTGGACATTTGCTCACTGTCACCAGACCATTCCTAAAAAAAACATACCCTAATCAGCCACAACATTAAAACCACCAACAGGTGAAGTGAATAACATCGAATATATCATTATAATGGCACCTGTAATGGGGTGGTATATATGAGGCAGCAAGATAACCGTTTGTTCTTAAACTTTAGTATTGGAACAGGAAAAATGGGCAAGCAATCTGAATGACTTTGACAAGGCTAAATAGTGATAGCTAGACGACCGGACCAGAGCATCTCCAAAACGGCAAGTCTTGTGGGATGTCCTGGTATGCTGTGATTAGTAGCTTCCAAAAGTTGTGCAAGGAAGGATAACCGGGAAACTAGTGTTAGGGACATGCGTGCCCAGGCCTCATTGATGCACATGAGGAGTGATTGCTAGTCTGTTTGGTCCGATCACACAAAAAAGCCTCTGTAGCTCAAATTGCTGAAAAACTTAATACTGGCCATGATAGAAAGAACCTACAGCTCATCGCAGAGTGCTGCATATGGGGCTGAGTAACCACAGACTGGTCAGGGACCACCATGACCACTGTCCATCAAGAATGGGGGATGTCTCAGAACTGGACCATGATGCAATGGAAGAAGGTTGCCTGGCCTGATGAATCACATTTGGTTTTAGGAAACCTAACAAAGAGTTCAAAGTGTTGCCTTGTCCTCCAAATGCCCCAGATCTCAACCCAATTGAGCATCTGGGGATGTGCTGAAACAACAAATCGGATCCACGGAGGCCCCACCTTGCAACTTGCAGGAATTAAGGATCTGCTGCTTATGTTTTGTTGCCAGATACCACAGGACACATTCAGAGGTCTTGTGGAGTGCATGCTCTGATGCATCAGAGCTGATTTGGCAGCATGAGGGGGACCAACACGATATTAGGCAGGTGGTTTTAGTGTTGTGGCTGATCAGTGTATTTAAATTAAGATAAAAACAAGTCAAAAGATGTGCACCACTGTAGTACCAGGGGAGGATATAGACCCCATTTCATACCAAGCAGAATATACTCTTCACACACTGTAGATGACAAGAGAATTGCAAATTCTAGCCAGAAATAGCTGAAATATATTTTCAATTAAGCTGTTCTGGCTTATATTGACAAAGACGATCCAATAGAATATAACTCTTGTGTAATGTCTTTAAAGCAGATCTTAGTAATAATGTTTTTTGTTTTTTTGCAGCAACAACCGGACCACTTAACAATTCACTACCTGAGAAGGAACGTCAACACATTGCAGAGCGATTACTGAGGGTAATGTGTGCTGATCTCGGGGCTCTGAGTGTGGTCAATGGCAAAGAATTCCTGAAACTTGCACAGACACTTGTTGACACTGGCGCTCGTTATGGATCGTTTTCTGTACACGAGATACTGGGGAATATGAACACATTGGCTGTGAAGCATTTACCTCGAATGTACAACCAAGTCAAAGTGAAGGTGACTTGTGCTCTGGGAAGTAACATCTGCCTGGGAATTGGAGTCACTTGTCATGCCCAGTGCATTGGAACAGATTCATGTTACATACTCACAGCATACCAGGCTGAGTGCAACCAAATAAAGCGATATGTCTTGGGAATTAAGGACGTGGACAATAGAGATAGCGGAGAATTTATCCACCAATGGGTGCAGAATGTACTATCGGAGTTTGTGATGTCAGAGATTAGGACAGTTTATGTTACAGACTGCAAAGTGAATTCTTCTGCATTCTCCAAGTCTGGAGGAACCTGCCTTCGTTGTTCAGCCTGTTCTTTGAACTCAGTGGTACAAAGCGTGCTAAGCAAGCGCACACTTCAAGCTCGCAATATGCACGAGGTCATTGAACTCTTAAATGTTTCAGAAGAACTGGCTGGGTCATCTGGTATCTCAAAGGAGACATTTGGCTCTTTAGAAGAAACCTCACCACCTCCCTGCTGGAATTCTGTAACTGATTCTCTCCTGCTCGTTCATGAACGATACGAGCAAATCTGTGAATTCTATAGCCGGGCAAAAAAGCCAAATGTCATCCAGAACCTAAACAAACACTTACTGAGCAACTTAGCTGCCATTTTAGGACCTGTTAAGCAAGCTGTAATAGAGCTAAGCAATGAACGCAAACCCACACTACAGCTTGTGCTTCCAACCTACGTCAAGTTGGAGAAGCTCTTCACATCGAAGGCAAATGATGCAGGAGTTATCAGTAAACTCTGCCATCTCTTCCTTGAAGCTTTGAAGGAGAACTTTAAGGTGGAGTCAGCACATAAAGTAGCTATGATCCTAGATCCACAGCAAAAACTAAGGCCAGTTCCACCATATCAGCATGAAGAAATTATTGGTAAGGTCTGTGAGTTAATTAATGAAGTTCGAGACGGGTCAGAAGAGGGTGAATTTGAGGCACCTACTAAAAAGCCTAGGCCAGCTGCAGAGACAACCAAAGTCCAAGACGATGACCGAATGGGGAAAAATGAAGTCTATGACTATTTACAAGAGCCCCTTTTCCAGGTTACTCCAGACCTCTTCCAGTATTGGTCATCTGTTGCCCAAAAACATGTAAAACTATCCAAACTTGCCTTCTGGCTCCTTGCTGTCCCTGCTGTTGGAGCCAGAAGCGAATGTGTAAATATGTGTGAACAAACCTTACTTATCAAACGAAGGAGACTGCTTAGCCCTGAAGATATGAATAAAGTTATGTTTCTGAGGTCGAATATGCTTTAAACAAAACAAAAAAACAGTTTGGTTGAAACACTTATTATAAAGCAAAACACTGTTCCAAATAAATGTTACTTAATAAGTAAATGATAAAGGACATCAAGCTTGAAACACTGTGGACCTCAAAAAAAGTCTAGGAACCAAGTGCTTTTTTGTTTTGTTTTATTTTTGTACCGAGAGGAAGATTGGATTGTTGGATGATGATGGGTTGTTGACCTTACATGTAGAAGGAACATGTTTGTACGGACAAGACTAACTATTGTTACAGGCAGCTGACTTCCAAAGTCACTTGAAGATTTCTCGTTACCAGTTATCACAACGAGCTTGTTGCTCCTTCCAATAAGTTTGTACTAGTATCAGGGCCTTATTAACATACAGTGTATATTAGTAAGGTAACGTTCACAAAACTCTTTCCAGAAGTCGAAATTCAGGAAAAACAGGTGAAGTCTTTAAATATCTCACAAGGACCTGAACACTTTTAGATGAGTTATTTTGGTTAACAGATCTCCATTCCCTACTTTGTTTTTATTGTTTGAAGTTCTTTTAGGAATAAAAGTAGTATATTCTAAAGGGACGTAAAGAAACGTAGTGTATTTTATTTTTAGAATATAGGGAAAACCTTCTAATCTAAGCCTACTTTCTAAACTGCTGTATGCCGATTCTGCTGTTATCCTGCCTGTTGTAGGCTTCCATTTTGGAGACGTGTCCTGTTTGGTTTCTGTGCAGAACAAATAACCTGTTTTTTCTAATTTATAAACAGTATGAAATGTATCCTCTGCCGAGCACTGATTGTCAGTCTATATGTGGTGTCCTCACTACAATGCTAGGAGTACTAATATTCTTGCAACACATTGGGCCACAATCTGGGTTAGAGCGGGACACTTGTTGATGAGTGCATCGTAAACACAATGAATTACCCTACCAGCAAGGACATTAGGTTTCCCAAGGGCTTTTGTATAAAAATTACTTTTGATAACTATTGTAATGTATTTAGACCTCATCACAGTGAATCCCTATGGTTCTTTTTCCTCACTAGAGAATAATGTGTGACCCAGGATGTCCTCTATGATCCGACCATAAAACTACACAGTTTCTAGAATAAATCTCCAAATGTAGGTTACAGCTCATTGTCAAACAGCCACAAACACCATAAGTGGATGTTTTTTATCTGTACACTCCACCTCAGCTGCACTCTACCCGTCTACACTCTCCACCTCAGCCACGCTCAACCCATCTACACTCTCCACCTCAGCCACGCTCTACTTATCTGCACTCTCATCTCAGCCACGCTCTACCCATCTGCACTCTCTTTCTCAGCCACACGCTATCCATCTGCACTCTCCATCTCAGCCGCTCTCTACCTGTCTGCATTCTCCATCTCAGCCGCGCTCTACCCATCTACACTCTTCATCTCAGCTGCGCTCTACCCATCTGTACTCTCCACCTCAGCCACGCTTTACCCGTCTGCACTCTCCACCTCAGCCACGCTCTACCCATCTACACTCTTCATCTCAGCCGCGCTCTACCCATCTACACTCTCTATCTCAGTCACACTCTGACAGTCTGTACTCTCCTCCTGGAACATACATAACTAGTCTGAACTATCCATGTTTACTATATTCCTGGTCTTTTCTCTGCATCGTGACCAAATTCCAGTAGTCTATACTGTCCATCTTGGCCACATTCCACCAGTCTATACTGTCCGTCTTGGCCACATTTCACCAGTTTATACTGTTCATCCTGGCCACAATTCACCAGTCTATACTGGCCATACTCCACCAGTCTATACTGTCCATCATGGCCACAGTTCACCAGTCTATACTGGCCATACTCCACCAGTCTATACTGGCCATACTCCACCAGTCTATACTGGCCATCTTGGCCACAGTTCACCAGTCTATACTGGCCATCTTGGCCACACTTCACCTTCACCAGTGTATACTGTCCATCTTGACCACACTCCACCAGTCTATACTGTCCATCTTGGCCACACAGAACCAGTCTATATTGTCCATCCTGGCCACATTCTACCAGTCTATACTGTCCATCTTGGCCACAGTTCACCAGTCTATACCCTATACTGTCCATCTTGGCCACACTCCACCAATCTACACTGTCCATCTTGGCCACACTTCACCTTCACCAGTGTATACTGTCCATCTTGGCCACACAGAACCAGTCTATATTGTCCATCCTGGCCACATTCCACCAGTCTATACTGTCCATCTTGGCTACACTCCACCAGTTTATATGGGCCACACTATATCAGTTTAAAATGTTTGAACGTGGACAATGGGGAAAGGAGATACTGTCCACATTGGCCACGTTCCACCAGTTTATACTGGCCATTCTCCTCTAGTTTATACTATCCTGAGCCACACCTTAGATGTGTGCATTGTTTGTTAATAACACTCTGCAGGTGGAGGTGATTATCAGCTGCCAGAAGTGGGTGCACCGTACATTACTCTGCTATGTAAAGCTGGAGGTTTTAGGCCTTTCTGATTACTGATCTGTGCACACAGAATATAACCTACAGCAGTGCTTCTAGCCAGGACTTAAAAGTTACTTGCCACTGCAAGCCTGGAGAGTCCATGAATTGGGTGAATTTTCCAGCTAGTGACCATTGAAATTGTGAGCCCTAATATAACAGAGATCCTGGTGCACACTGAGTTTTTCCATTAAAGTGGGAATTGCAAAAGAGTTAACAAGGGAACTGAAAATTTTAAAAAGTGAAATGGAGAATTTCACCAGTTCGGCTATTTCCCCCTGTATTATTCCAAGATTATCCCCCCTTACTGTGTGTGCTGCGCGATCTCCGTTTACACTGATTGAGTGGGTTCTGTTTGTGTGAATTTTCACATACACGGGATTTGCGGGTGATCTAACAACACTTGTCATACTTCACTAGGCCATTCAGAATATTTATTTATTTTTAAAGTTATTACAAAGTGAATTGATTACTTTTTGATATTAATTTTTATTGTCATATTTCCATAGAATATAACCCCCTTTATATTTTATACGCATTTTCTATTTGTTCGTCTTTGCAGTTGTATAAATGGTTTTGTGAAATTTAAAACATAAATACCTTTTTTTTTTTTTTCCTTTGTGTTTCCTTTGGCTAGCAGCTCCTCAGCTACCAGACTGTCCTTTCCTCTTCAGATCTCCACCAGCTTCCATGTTGGAGCCAGGCAGAGTGAAGCAATGGTTCTCTCTGAGTTGGTATATGACAGATCTGGAACAATGAAATATATATAACAATGAATACAAACCGCTGAATCCTTGATGGATGTCAATCAACAGGCCCAGTCAGCTTCTTCATAACAGCAACATGTACATCAATATGAAACAAATTATATTTTCCTTCTCTTACAAAATGTATCTCCAGTAATTGTTATATAATAGCTTTGGCATGGGCATGGGGATGGGGAAACACTACATTAGAGCATCCAAAGACCTAAACTAGCTGTGGAGAAGTCAGTCTCCTACGGAGCACATACTTTGTAGCACTGGGTGACAGAGTAGTGTGTAATACACAGAGCAGGCACAGGACAACGATTGGGTTGCACCCAGGTTAACTCCTTAACCCCTTAAGGACACATGACATGTCATGATTCCCTTTTATTCCAGAAGTTTGGTCCTTAAGGGGTTAAAGAAAACTGGATACAAATTATTACAACATGCAGACCTATGTTAGCCAGAGAAACGAGAAGAGTAGCATATTAGCGGTCTTTAGTTAGTGACCGGGGTTAACACAAAATGTTAGAAATAAAATAATCAAGAACAGGCTGCATTCAAGGGAACACGTAGGTTTAACAACATAATAGGCGAGCCAAGGTGAGGAAAATCTGTAAACAGAAAACATACAGTTGCAAGAAAAAGTATGTGAACCCTTTGGAATGATATGGATTTCTGCACAAATTGATCATAAAATGTGATCTGATCATCATCTGAGTCACAACAATAGACAATCAGTCTGCTTAAACTAATAACACACAAAGAATGAAATGTTGCCATGTTTTTATTGAACACACCATGTAAACATTCACAGTGCAGGTGGAAAAAGTATGTGAACCCTTGGATTTAATAACTGGTTGAACCTCCTTTGGCAGCAATAACTTCAACCAAACGTTTCCTGTAGTTGCAGATCAGACGTGCACAACGGTCAGGAGTAATTCTTGACCATTCCTCTTTACAGAACTGTTTCAGTTCAGCAATATTCTTGGGATGTCTGGTGTGAATCGCTTTCTTGAGGTCATGCCACAGCATCTCAATCGGGTTGAGGTCAGGACTCTGACTGGGCCACTTCAGAAGGCGTATTTTCTTCTGTTTAAGCCATTCTGTTGTTGATTTACTTCTATGCTTTGGGTCATTGTCCTGTTGCAACACCCATCTTCTGTTGAGCTTCAGCTGGTAGACAGATGGCCTTAAGTTCTCCTGCAAAATGTCTTGATAAACTTGGGAATTCATTTTTCCTTCGATGATAGCAATCCGTCCAGGCCCTGACGCAGCAAAGCAGCCCCAAACCATGATGCCCCCACCACCATACTTCACAGTTGGGATGAGGTTTTGATGTTGGTGTGCTGTGCCTTTTTTTCGCCACACATAGTGTTGTGTGTTTCTTCCAAACAACTCAACTTTGGTTTCATCTGTCCACAGAATATTTTGCCAGTACTGCTGTGGAACATCCAGGTGCTCTTGTGCAATCTGTAAACGTGCTGCAATGTTTTGTTTGGACAGCAGTGGCTTTCTCTGTGAAATCCTCCCATTAAATCCATTCTTGTTTAGTGTTTTACGTATTGTAGATTCGCTAACAGGGATGTTAGCATTTGCCAGTGACCTTTGTAAGGCTTTAGCTGACACTCTAGGATTCTTCCTCACCTCATTGAGCTGTGCTCTTGCAGTCATCTTTACAGGACGGCCACTCCTAGGGAGAGTAGCAGCAGTGATAAACTTTCTCCATTTATAGACAATTTGTCTTACCGTGGACTGATGGAACAGCAAGGCTTTTGGAGATACTTTTATAACCCTTTCCAGCTTTATGCAAGTCAACAATTCTTAATCGTAGGTCTTCTCGAGAGCTCTTTTTGTGCGAGGCATCATTCACATCAGGCAATGCTTCTTGTGAAAAGCAAACCCAGAACTGGTGTGTGTTTTTTATAGGGCAGGGCAGCTGTAACCAACACCTCCAATCTCATCTCATTGATTGGACTCCAGTTGGCTGACATCTCACTCCAATTAGCTCTTGGAGATGCCATTAGTCTAGGGGTTCACATACTTTTTCCACCTGCACTGTGAATGTTTACATGGTGTGTTCAATAAAAACATGGAAACATTTCATTCTTTGTGTGTTATTAGTTTAAGCAGACTGTGATTGTCTATTGTTGTCTTAGATGATGATCAGATCACATTTTATGACCAATTTGTGCAGAAATCCATATCATTCCAAAGGGTTCACATACTTTTTCTTGCAACTGTAAATGTGCTCTCGGGTAACTAAAGACCAAAATTGTTGGTTAGTGTGATCTGAGTTTAAATTGGAGAAACAAAGAGCCTACTGACTAGTGTTGATTGACCAGCAGTGCACCAAAATGTACATCATACCTGCTCCTCAAACCAGACGTCCTCCAACGGTTCTGGGCACTCTCCCCTGATCTAGGGATTCCTATGCTGAACACAATAACTTAGGACGTTCCGACACTGGCAATGACGCAGAATGCTCCGCCTCTCTCTTTATTCAAGTTGTGACCCGTGTCTTGTGTGGGTGCTCTGCCACTACTCTTTGCCCACACAACATAAGTCATGTTCACTTTGGTGTCATGACACAGGCCAATCAAAGGCCTATATAAAACCTTTATGACCTATCTTCATTGCCCTGTTGTGGTTATTGTTAGCCCAAGAGTGCGCTCCTTTATCCTTCGTATTTCTGGTAAGTGACTTGGCTTTGTTTAATCCTTTATTCTATATTCTGATGTACCTGAGCCGTGGCTTTGTTATATTCTTTTATCTGTCTGTCTTACCTAGGCTTGTATCCGACTATTCTATACTATACATATTAAGCCCGGCCACGATCTGGTAATACGTCTTGTCTGTGTAGTGTTCTACTTTCCTCACTGTTTGCTACTTACTTCATCTGTCCTTGACATTATGACAGGGACAAGGGCCCTGCAAACATGGGGCAACAACTAGCTTCCTATGAAGTTATAATGGAGCAATTTGATCATAGAAATGATCAATTTGCGCAGGTTTTGCAAACAATCTTTTCCAGAACCATGTCTTTAACCTGAAGATCAAGCTACTGGGATTAAAGGGGAAATCCTCTGCTCCTTCTACCGCAGTGTTCACTCCTTTGGTACATTTCACACCTCCGACTAGGTGTACAGGTGACCTCACGTTGTGCAGTCTTTCTTAACCAGATAGGGCTACATATCGAAATGGTCCCCAACTCTTTTCCCACTGACAGATCCTAAGTGGATTTCATAATGAATCCACCTGATGGAAACCTTGGCCTTGAACAACCTACTATGGGAACGTAATGAGCCTTTTGGTTATGTTCGCTTCATAGAAGCCTTTAAGGAAGTGTTTAGTCCTCTTGGCTGAAAGATATCAGACCCATTGCAGACAGTTCTTCACAGTTCTTCTGAAGTGTCATGGAACAATAATGCTCTGACTGCTAGGCCTAAGTGAGATGCTGCAGGATGAACTGGCTGCTAGGGACCTTCCTGATGATTTAGAAGAACTCATTCTGTACATGTCAGACATAGATATCAGAGTGAGACAAAAACATCTAAAATTAGACAGGCTCTGGTTCATCTGTCTCCTAGAGTACCTACTGTATAATTCTTAACTGGCTCAATCTGAGACAGAATGTATAGAAGAACAGAAGTGTTATGCCTATAGTGTGGAAGGACAGGACATCTAAGAAGTAATTGTCCAGCCGCTCGGAAAACCCTAGGAACTGAGATCTTGTATGTGTTGTCGCTGTTCCCTAAATACTCATCTCCTCCTTCCTGTATGTCTGGGATGTGGTTCTACTGTTATCCATACTATGACTGTCATTGACTCTGCAGCCACCAACTATTTTATAGACCTTAGTTATGCAACATCTATTTATCTGCCACTTAAGCTGAGAACACCCTTGGCCGGTAAGGCCATAGATAGTAGACCATTAACCATTCCCATGGTTACTCATAAGAAAGAGACCATTACCCTATCTGTTTGTCTCTTACATGAGGAAGAAATAGTGTTCCATTTCATTAACTCGCCTTCTTGTGCATTGGTTTTGGGATTTCCTTAGTTACACAAACACAACCCACATGTAGATTGGAAAGAGCAACAATTCATTCCTTTGGGGTCTGTCAAATCTTGCTCCTTAAATATTTCTGCTGCAATTCTATTGTCCACAGTTGTACCAAAACAATACCAAGACCTACTTTATAAAGTAGAAGCTGAAATCCTATCCCTCATAGGCCCTGTGATTGTGCCTTTGACTTTCTGCAGTGCACTATACCTCCTAAAGGTAGGGTCTATCCTTTGTATCAGAGAGAATCACATTATGGAGGAGTACATTAAAAAATCATTCAGATTCTTTTTTTCTACGATTATAGGAGTCTTAGTAAGATAACTATAAATAATGTCTACCCCATTCCCCTAATTGGTGAGCTTTTTGACATCTTAAAGAGATCCATGTATTTCACCAAATTGGTGAATTATAATCTGGTCTATATTTGGAAAGGACATGAGTGATAGACAGCATTCAACACCTGAAGTGGTCATAACGAATACACTGTAATGATCTTCAGGTTGTGTAACACTCCTGCTGTCTTCCAAGATCTCATCAATGATGTTTTCAGGGAATATTTACACTCAATTGTTAGGTTTTTTTTTTTACATTCTTCACACATCACAAACATGTTAGGACTGTTCTGTGAACGCTTATGGTTTCTACTGCAAACTAGAAAAATGTTTATTCAACCAACCAAAGGTACATCCCCTCAGATGGGTTTCAAATGGATTCTGAAAAACTGACCACTATCTTGTATTGGCACTTGACTGTCGGACTGAAATACATTCAAAGGTTTTTTGGGTTTGCTAATTACTACAGGCATGGCAGATTCAGTTGGCTCTCTTTATAAAGGCATTCTATCTCTGTGAATGCTCAGTCTGAGCGCTGTGATTGGTTGGCTCCCTTTATAAAGGCATTGTATCGCTATGAAATCTCAGTCTGAGCTCTGTGATTGGTTGGCTCTCTTTATAAAGGAATTCTGACTATTTGAATGCTCTGTCCGAGTGCTGTGATTGGTTGGCTCTCTTTATAAAGGCATTATATCTCTATGAATGGTCAGTCCTAGCGCTGTGATTAGTTGGCTCTATTTATAAAGGCATTCTATCTCTATGAATTCTCAGTCCGAGTGCTGTGATTGGTTGGCTCTCTGTATCAGGGCATTATATCTCTATGGATGCTTAGTCTGAGCGCTGTGATTGGTTGGCTCCCTTTATAAAGGCATTCTGACTATTTGAATGCTCAGTCCAAGCGCTGCCATTGATTGGCTCTCTTTATAAATGCATTCTATCTCTATGAATGCTTAGTCCGAGCACTGTGATTGGTTGGCTCTCTTTATAAAGGCATTCTGACTATTTGAATGCTCAGTCTGAGTGCTGTGATTGGTTGGCTCTCTTTATAAAGGCATTCTATCTCTATGAATGGTCAGTCCTAGCGCTTTCATTGGTTGGCTCCCTTTATAAAGGCATTCTATTGCTATGAATACTCAGTCTGAGCGCTGCCATTGATTGGCTCCCTTTACAAAGGCATTCTTACTGTTTGAATGCTTAGTCCAAGCGCTGTGATTGGTTGGCTTTCTTTATAAAGGCATTCTGACTATTTGAATGCTCAGTTGGAGAGCTGTGATTGGTTGGCTCTCTTTATTAAGGCATTCTATCTCTATGAATGCTCAGTCCGAGCGCTGTGATTGGTTGGCTCTCTTTATTAAGGCATTCTATCTCTATGAATGCTCAGTCCGAGCGCTGTGATTGGTTGGCTCTCTTTAAAAAGGCATTCTATCTCTATGAATGCTCAGTCCGAGCGCTGTGATTGGTTGGCTCTCTTTAAAAAGGCATTCTATCTATATGAATGCTCAGTCCGAGTTTTGTGATTGGTTGGCTCTCTTTATAAAGGCATTCTATCGCTATAAATTCTCAGTCTAAGAACTGTGATTGGTTGACTCTCTTTATAAAGGCATTCTGACTATTTGAATGCTCAGTTAGAGCGCTGTGATTCGTCCGCTCCCTTTATAAAGGCATTCTATCGCTATGAATGCTCAGTCCGAGCGCTGCCATTGATTGGCTCCCTTTATAAAGGCATTCTGACTATTTGAATGCTCAGTCTGAGCACTGTGATCGGTTGACTTTCTTTATACAGGCATTCTATCTATGATTGCTCAGTCCGAGCGTGGTGATTGGTTGGCTCTCTTTATAAAGGCATTCTGACTATTTGAATGCTCAGTTGGAGCGCTGTGATTGGTTGGCTACTTTATAAAGGCATTCTGACTATTTGCTTAGTCCGAGCGCTGCCATTGATTGGCTCTCTTTATGAAGGCATACTGACTATTTGAATGCTCAGTCCAGGCCCTGTGATCAGTTGGCTCGCTTTATAAAGGCATTCTATCGCTATGAATTCTCAGTCTGTGCACTGTGATTGGTTGGCTTCCTTTATAAAGCCATTCTATCGCTATGAATGCTCATTCTGAGTGCTGTGATTGGTTGGATCCCTTTTATAAAGGCATTCTATCGTTATGAATTCTCAGTCTAAGCGCTGTGATTGGTTGGCTCTCTTTATAAAGACATTCTGACTATTTGAATGCTCTGTCTGAGTGCTGTGATTGGTTGGCTCTCTTTATAAAGGCATTCTATCTCTATGAATGCTCAGTCCAAGCAGTGTGATTGGTTGGCTCTCTTTATAAAGGCATTCTATCTCTATGAATGGTCAGTCCTAGCGCTGTGATTAGTTGGCTCTCTTTATAAAGGCATACTATCTCTATGAATGCTCAGTCCGAGCGCTGTGTTTGGTTGACGCTCTGTATCAGTGCATTATATCTCTATGGATGCTTAGTCTGAGCGCTGATTGGTTGGCTCCCTTTATAAAGGCATTCTGACTATTTGAATGCTCAGTCCAAGCGCTGCCATTGATTGGCTCTCTTTATAAAGGCATTATATCTCTATGAATGCTTAGTCTGAGCACTGTGATTGGTTGGCTCTCTTTATAAAGGCATTCTGACTATTTGAATGCTGTTGGAGCACTGTGATTGGTTGGCTCTCTTTATAAAGGCATTCTATCTCTATGAATGGTCAGTCCTAGCGCTTTCATTGGTTGGCTCCCTTTATAAAAGGCATTCTATCGCTATGAATACTCAGTCTGAGTGCTGCCATTGATTGGCTCCCTTTATAAAGGCATTCTTACTGTTTGAATGCTTAGTCCGAGCGCTGTGATTGGTTGGCTTTCTTTAAAGGCATTCTATCTCTATGAATGCTCAGTCCGAGCGCTGTGTTTGCTCCCTTTATAAAGGCATTCTGACTATTTGAATGCTCAGTCTGAGCGCTGTGATTGGTTGGCTCTCTTTATAAAGGCATTGTATTTCCATGTGCTGTGATTGGTTGGCTCTTTTTATAAAGGCATTCTATCGCTTTGAATGCTTAGTCAGAGCGCTGTGATTGGTTGACTTTTTATAAAGGCATTCTCTCGCTATGAATGCTTAGTCAGAGCGCTGTGATTGGTTGACTCTCTTTATAAAGGCATTCTATCTCTATGAATGCTCAGTCCAAGCACTGTGATTGGTTGGCTCCCTTTATAAAAGCATTTTTACTATTTGAATGCTCAGTCTGAGCACTGTGATCATTTGGCTTTCTTTATAAAGGCATTCTATCTCTGTGAATTCTCAGTCTGAGTGCTGTGATTGGTTGGTTTCCTTTATAAAGGCATTCCATCTCTATGAATGCTCAGTCTGAGTGCTGTGATTGGTTGGCTCCCTTTATAAAGGCATTCTGACTATTTGAATGATCAGTCCAAACGCTGCCATTGATTGGCTCTCTTTATAGAGGCATTCTGACTATTTGCTCAGTCCGAGCGCTGCCATTGATTGGCTCTCTTTTTGAAGGCATACTGACTATTTGAATGCTCAGTCCGATCGCTGTGATCAGTTGGCTTACTTTATAAAAGGCATTCTATCGCTATGAATTCTCAGTCTGAGCGCTGTGATTGGTTGGCTCCCTTTATAAAGGAATACTGACTATTTGAATGCTTAGTCCGAGCGCTGTGATTGGTTGGTTTCCTTTATAAAGGCATTTTATCGCTATGAATGCTCAGTCTGAGCGCTGTGATTGGTTGGCTCTCTTTATAAAGGCATTCTGGCTACTTGAATGCTCAGAGCGCTGTGATTGGTTGGCTCCCTTTATAAAGACATTCTGACTATTTGAATGCTCAGTCCAAGTGCTGTGATTGGTGGCTCTCTTTATAAAGGCATTCTATCTCTATGAATGCTCAGTCAAAGCATTGTGATTGGTTGGCACCCTTTATAAACACATTCCATTTGAATGCTCAGTCCGAGCGCTGTGATTGGTTGGCTCGCTTTATAAAGGCATTCTATCGCTATGAATGCTCAGTCCGAGTGCTGTGATTGGTTGGCTCTCTTTATAAAGGCAATATATTTCCATGAATGCACGATCCGAGCGCTGTGATTGGTTGGCTCGCTTTATAAAGGCATTCTATCGCTATGAAAGCTCAGCCCGAGTGCTGTGATTGGTTGGCTCTCTTTATAAAGGCATTCTATCGCTATGAATGCTCAGTCAGAGCACTGTGATTGATTCGCTCCCTTTATAAAGGCATTCTGACTATTTGAATGCTCAGTCCAAGTGCTGTGATTGGTTGGCTCTCTTTATAAAGGCATTCTATTTCTATGAATGCTCAGTCCAAGCAGTGTGATTGGTTGGCTCCCTTTATAAAGGCATTCTATCGCTATGAATGCTCAGTCCGAGCGCTGCCATTGATTGGCTCCCTTTATAAAGGCATTCTGACTATTTGGATGCTCAGTCCAAGCACTGTGATCAGTTGACTTTCTTTATAAAGGCATCCTATCTCTATGAATGCTCAGTCTGAGCGCTGTGATTGGTTGGCTGTCTTTAAAAAGGCATTCTATCTCTATGAATGTTTAGTCCGAGCACTGTGATTGGTTGGCTCTCTTTATAAAGGCATTCTGACTATTTGAATGCTCAGTTGGAGCGCTGTGATTGGTTGGCTCCCTTTATAAAGGCATTCTATTTGCTTAGTCTGAGCGCTGCCATTGATTGGCTCTCTTTATGAAGGCATACTGACTATTTGAATGCTCCGTCCGAGCACTGTGATCAGTTGGCTCGCTTTATAAAGGCATTCTATCGCTATGAATTCTCAGTCTGAGCGCTGTGATTGGTTGGCTCCCTTTATAAAGGAATACTGACTATTTGAATGCCTAGTCTGTGCGCTGTGATTGGTTGGCCTCCTTTATAAAGCCATTCTATAGTTATGAATGCTCATTCTGAGCGCTGTGATTGGTTGGCTCCCTTTATAAAGGAATACTGACTATCTGAATGCCTAGTCCGTGCGCTGTGATTGGTTGGCCTCCTTTATAAAGCCATTCTATAGTTATGAATGCTCATTCTGAGCGCTGTGATTGGTTGGCTCCCTTTATAAAGGAATACTGACTATCTGAATGCCTAGTCCGTGCGCTGTGATTGGTTGGCCTCCTTTATAAAGCCATTCTATAGTTATGAATGCTCATTCTGAGCGCTGTGATTGGTTGGCTGCCATTCTATAGTTATGAATGCTCATTCTGAGTGCTGTGATTGGTTGGATCCCTTTATAAAGGCATTCTATCGCTATGAATGCTCTGTCAGAGTGCCTTGATTGGTTGGCTCTCTTTATAAAGGCATTCTATCTCTATGAATGATCAGTCCTAGCGCTTCCATTGGTTGGCTCCCTTTATAAAGGCATTCTATCGCTATGAATACTAAGTCTGAGCACTGCCATTGATTGGCTCCCTTTATAAAGGCATTCTTACGGTTTGAATGTTTAGTCCGAGCGCTGTGATTGGTTGGCTCTCTTTCTAAAGGCATTCTGACTATTTGAATGCTCAGTCTGAGCGCTGTGATTGGTTGGCTCTCTTTATAAAGGCATTCTGACTATTTGAATGCTCAGTCTGAGCGCTGTGATTGGTTGGCTCTCTTTATAAAGGCATTCTGACTATTTGAATGTTTAGTCCGAGCGCTGTGATTGGTTGGCTCTCTTTCTAAAGGCATTCTGACTATTTGAATGCTCAGTCTGAGCGCTGTGATTGGTTGGCTCTCTTTATAAAGGCATTCTGTCTATTTGAATGCTCAGTCTGAGCGCTGTGATTGGTTGGCTCTCTTTATAAAGGCATTCTGACTATTTGAATGCTCAGTCTGAGCGCTGTGATTGGTTGGCTCTCTTTATAAAGGCATTCTGACTATTTGAATGCTCAGTCTGAGCGCTGTGATTGGTTGGCTCTTTTTATAATGGCATTCTATCGTTATGAATGCTCAGTCCAAGCGCTGCCATTGATAGGCTCCCTTTATAAGGATTTTTCCAGCCTTCAATGTTTATTCTGTGCAGTCATCAGTACTTGAACAGATTGTTTTTCTTTTTCTGTAATTTGTGTTTTTTGCCTTTATTTTAAAGTTTTTGCACGTTTGTAATAGTTCAAACAATAGGTCTGATCCATTTTTATTTATTTTTTATGTTAGATTTTTGCTGCCCCTTGTCTATTCTTACTGTAGGGGGATTAAATACAGACTTATTATGAGGGGCTCGCTAGGGGTCCCGTAACAACCCTCGGAAGTTCACTGTGTGACCATAGTAGACTGGGCAACTCCTCTTTCATATGACCCATTCATTTTAATAAGGGGTTAATCCTATCTGCTGGGACAAGTTGATATTTTATTGTCCACCACCCACACATTGGAGTGGAGACAGAGGGCAGAGAGTCATAGGAGACATCACATTTATCTTTATTTTTGCTGAGAGACATTCAGTTTTTTCAGTTACGATTGCGGTGATTGATCATGCTACGCTGGAGGCTACCTTATACATTCATTGTCGTTTTTTTTACGAATAGTAGCTGCAAACAGCATGTCTGGCATTGTGATTTCTTAGCATTTACTTTATTGTTTATATAGTGCCCACACCGCTCCACACTCACAGTATGGGGATAACTGTCAACAAGCAATTTACAGGCCAGAGAATACACAAGAGGTTATGGCCAAACCAGCTTAAAATCTATGAGAAAGAGAGACACAAGAGAAATAAGTAAGGATGTGCATGGGCAAAGAATTCGGTTCGGAAATTCGGGTAAGTAAAACATTTCGGCACTTGGACAATTCAGTTCGGCACTTCCGAAATTCGGACATTCGTAAGCATCCCTCTCTTGCCACCACAACCACTTAAACATTGCATAGCTCCCTTACCCCTACCTGTTAGGTAAGGTTAGGTGCCTGGACTGCCACCACAACCACTTACACATCTATAGGGCTCCCAGTGCCAGAAATTAGCTTATTGGTCAAGCTTCCTGTCATCATTCATGTAATTTTCCCTCCCACTCTTGTTTTGTCACTTTTCAGAAATCCGAAGCACTTCTGCACTTCCGAAATTCGGACATTAAAACTGACTTCCTATGCGGCTATTTACACCGATTTGTAAGTCGACCTGTTAATGTCTTGTTTCTATCACTAGCTACTCATCTATTGCCATCATCTAGATTTTTTTCATTGAGAACTGCTGACCCCATATTTTTAAGAGTTACACAAGTCAGAAAAAAAATCACTATTATAGAAAACTATTTGAAAAACGTCGCATCAGAGGGGATATGATAACATTTTACAAATATATCCGAAGCAAATACAAACCATTGTGTGGAAATCTATTTACAAAACCAGACTTTACATAGGACACGAGGCCATGCGTTTAGACTGGAAGAAAGAAGATTTCGTCAGAGTCTGTACAGATGTTTAAACAGCAACTTAATGCATAAAAAAGAATGTTCAAGGATGTCATTTTTTAATGTAGGGTAATAGCTTCTTGATCCAAGGATTAATCTGACTGCCATTCTGGGGTCAAGGTGGAATGTATTTCCTAGTTTGTTGCAAAATTGTAAGTGCTTTAAACTGGGTTTTTTTTGCCTTCTTTTGGATTAACAGCAAAAACCAAATGTGAGGAAAGCTGAACTTGATGGACACATGTCTCTTTTCAGCCTATGTAACTATATAACTATTGAATATTTAAAAACATAAAACCCACTACTCACATTGTTTCACTTCAAAAAATATTTAACCTAGAGTTTTGTAAGGTGAAGCAATTTTTCCTGAATACCTATCAATGTATTAACCCTTAATGAGGGGATAGTGAAAGGTTACACACTCTCCCATGCTCGTAAATCTCTGCCACTAAAGCTACTCTATACTAATATGTCCTGCAACTAAGCTGGGCACTGTTGGCCAATCAACCCACGCATTGAAGATTATCTATCTATTGTTTTCAGTAGGGTGTGCGGGGCTTTAAGGCAACAGGGTATTTTTCTGTCACAGTGTGAATTTCCACGACAATCATGTGTGACACGAATGACGCCATGCAGTGACTACCAGCTAGGGGGCACCCTCCAATGCTGTAGATTGGGGACAGATGGTAAAACACGGGCTGAGACACTACACCATTTCACCACATATTTTAGGGACAGGATTTAAAAGTCAAAGACCATTTCCTTAATGTTCAACAGTAGTAGGACGGTATTTAGAATTTGTTTTAGCTGGATGGTAATTTTATACGGAATAAAACGTGTCCACCCGTTTTATTTGTTAATGAAAGATTAAAATGTACAGGCTGATACAGGAAATCCATTAGTATTTTTCTGATGTATGAACCTTTACTATTCAGTGTATACAATAACTGATGGGTATGTTCTAGCGCAGAGTTGTCCAACCTGCAGCCCCCCAGATGTTGCTGAACTACAACTCCTGATGATCCTTTCAATTAAACAGATAGCAAGGAAATCATGGGAGTTGTAGTTCAGCAACATCTGGGGGGCCGCAGGTTGGACATCCCTGTTCTAGCGGTTAATGCATCTTACACACTGGGTGTTACTGTACAGCGCCCTCTCCTACTGCTGGCTGAAACTACCCACCTACCCCTTGTGTTCAGCTAATGAAGTTAACATTAGACATGTCTTATTTCTGGGTTTAATAAGAGTTCCGTATAAATGTACACATCCAGTAGCGGACGGACAGATTCTGTTCTATTCCTCCTTCATACAAACGTTATTTAGTGAAATGAGACAGGCAGACATCACCATTGATGATTTTATGTCCATATTGTGTTCTCGGTTTTGCAATAAAATGAGGTTTGGAAGTGATTTTGCAGGTTGATTTTATAATGTGAAATGTAAATATTTTGTGCAGTTACTGGTTTATGGACAGTTCCCTGTAATCTCTCTGTAAAAATCACTAGAACGTGCAGTTATTAAATGAGACTGCAGCACGCAAGTCAGCAAAATTACAGGAATGAATGATCATGGCCTGAAGAGCTTACAATCTAATTACCGAGCTGGTGTTGACAAGTGTTCTGTAAATTTTACGACATGGATTGTTTGGGGTAATGACAGCAGGTCTAAAGACTCTCAGCTACGAAACAAAATCAAAATGTGACAAGTGCGTCTCTCTCCTGACAGTCTCCAAACAGCACGACTACGTTTTAACCCCTTAATGACAGCACTGGCATTTATGCACACCTGGCCTTTGCAACCATACAATTACTTATATAGTGCCAACATATACCACGGTACTGTACAATCAGTAAACAAAACAGATACTAAATCTTAACAAATCACAACTGACACTGAAACAACAAGTGAAGAGGGATCGGCCCAAACGCATTTACAATTGAAAAATTGCCACAAAGCCAGTCTTACTGATATTTAGTGGTGTTGTGGAGACCGCCTTGGAGACTATGGTGAGGCCTAATAGAAAGCAGTTGTTGTTGGGTGATTCCATTATAAGAGGTGTGGAGATGGACAATGGTGGTCTTGTGAGGTGTCTTCCCGGAGCTACTGCTCACAGAGACAGGAGACGTATCTGTAATATTGTTAAGCAAGCAAAGCAGGAAGGGGAATTGGATGTACTTGTCCATCTAGGGACAAATGACTTGGCTTGCAATGAGGTTTCAGAGGTTAAGGAAGTTTTTAGTGTTTTTGCCAATGATATACGGCAGGTTGCTTCCACACTGTCATTCTCTGAAGTTCTGCCTGTGCATAACACTCAGAACGACAGGCGGATGCGTATTAGGGACTTTAATTTGTGGCTTGGTGAATGGTGTCGGGAGCAAGGATTTGGCTTTATTTCTCATGGTAGCTCTGTTTGGAATGGAGATAAGCTGTACAAAAAAGATGGTTTGCATCTTTCTCAAAAGGGAACAAATGTTCTCAGTGAGCAGTTCAGAGGTTTTGCTAGGATGTATTTAAACTAGGAGGGGGGGGCAAAAGGGTGATAAAACATCAATCCAATTGTCCCCCAAAACAAGGACAGAAGGTGCCTGTAGCAAGTGTGTTAAAAAATGATAAGCTTAGAGTCATGTCTACAAATGCTCGCAGTTTAGGGAATAAGATCCATGAACTTGTGGCAATAATGGCAACTGATAGTGTAGATTTAGTCGCTGTTACTGAGACATGGTACAATGAGAAAAATGACTGGGACATAGCAATACCAGGGTACTCTTTATATAGGAAAGATAGGGAAGGCAAGAAAGGAGGAGGGGTGGCCTTGTATGTGAAGGATAGCATAAAATCTAGCCTAATAAAAGTTAGTGAGGCAAACATAGAGTCCGTTTGGGCTACGTTAGAATTTGGTAATCACACAGTAACTCGTGTAGGTGTGATTTATAGGCCCCCAGGACAAATTGAAGAGTTAGATAATCTACTAGTTGAGGAAATAGCTAAAATGACAATGAAGGGGGAAGTTATCATCATGGGTGACTTTAATCTTCCTGATGTAAATTGGAAAACAAAATTAGCTACTTGTGCCAGGAGCACACATATTCTAAACTCCTACTGGGATTGTCTCTAAAACAAGTTGTTGAGGAGCCAACTCGTAAAGAGGCCATACTAGATTTAGTGTTAACAAATGGAGATTTGGTATCAGATATTACTGTAGGTGAAAGTTTAGGATCCAGTGATCATCAGTCAGTGTGGTTTAATATAAGAACAGTGACTGAGTCACACCACACAAAAACAAAGTTTTAGACTTTAGAAAAACAGACTTTTCTAAAATTAGAATATGGGTAGAGGAGTCATTATCAGACTGGAGCAATTTAAATGGAGTCCAAGAAAAATGGATTATTTAAAAGTTGCACTATTGAAGGCAACAGAAAATTGCATTAGGCTTGTCAGTAAAAGCAAAAAATTCAAGAAACCACTGTGGTACTCCGCAGATGTGGCCAAAATAGTTAAAAACAAAAGTTAGCATTTAGGAATTATAAAAAAAAACAGAATGAGGAAGACAAAATGATCTATAAGATTAGGCAGAAAGAGGCTAAGCAAGTTATAAGAGCTTCCAAATCATGCACAGTCAGTAAAAAAGGGGGATAAAACATTTTTTAGATACATAAATGAGAAAAGAAAAGTAAAACAAGGATTAGTTAGATTAAAAACAAAAGAAGGAAGGTATGCAGAAGAGGATAAAGGTCTAGCTGACTGCCTCAATGAATATTTTTGTTCTGTATTTACAGATGAAAATGAAGGAAAGGGACCTCAGTTGAGAAAAAGGATAAATGAGTCATTTATTACATGAGTTTACAGAGGAAGAGGTTCTATTTCAACTGTCAAAAGTAAAGACAAATAAGTCAATGGGACCTGATGGAATACACCCAAAGCTATTAAAAGAGCTTAGTGGTGTACTAGCAAAACCATTAACAGATTTATTTAACCAATCATTGTTAACAGGAGTAGTCCCAGAAGATAGGAAGTTAGCGAATATTTGTACTTATTTACACAAAGAGAAAGGTAATACCAAAATTAGGGCAACTATAAGAGCCCAGTAAGCACTTTTAGTAAGGTAAGAAAGTATTAAACCATATTTAAAAAGAGATAGAGATTGATAGAACATCTAAAACACATAGATTTCAAGATCAGAACAACATGGAGTTTACTTCAGGGAATCATACCAAACTATCTTATTGATTTTTTTGATTGGGTAACTAAAACTATAAGTCAGGAGGTAGTTACAGTAGACATTTACTTACCTATAGATTTCAGTAAAACTTTTGACACTGTGCATAGAAAACTTTTATCAACAAAACTACAATCTTTAAGTTTGGATTCCAATATTGTTGAATGGGTAAGACAGTGGCTGAGTGACAGGCAACAGAGGGTTGTAGTTAATGGAATATATTCGAAGCTTGGACTTGTCACCAGTGGGGTACCTCAGGGATCTGTACTTGGACCCATTCTCTTTATTATTTTTATTAGTGATATTGCAGAAGATCTTGATGGTAAGGTATGTCTTTTTGCTGATGATACTAAGATATGTAACAGGGTTGGTGTTCCAGGAGGGATAAGCCAAATGACAAATGATTTAGGTAAACTAGAAAAATGGTCAGAATTGTGGCAACTGACATTTAATGTGGATAAGTGCAAGATAATGCATCTTGGGCGTAAAAACCCAAGGGCAGAGTACAGAATATTTGATAGAGTTCTAACCTCAACATGAGGAAAGGGATTTAGGGGTGATTATTTCTGATGACTTAAAGGTAGGCAGACAATGTAATAGAGCAGCAGGAAATGCTAGCAGAATGCTTGGTTGTATAGGGAGAGGTATTAGCAGTAGAAAGAGGAAGTGCTCATGCCATTATACAGAACACTGGTGAGACCTCACTTGGAGTATTGTACACAGTACTGGAGACCGTATCTTCAGAAGGATATTGATACCTTAGAGAGGGTTCAGAGAAGGGCTACTAAACTGGTTCATGGATTGCGGGATAAAACTTACCAGGAAAGGTTAAGGATCTTAACATGTATAGCTTGGAGGAAAGACGAGACAGGGGGGATATGATAGAAACATTTAAATATATAAAGGGAATCAACACAGTAAAGGAGGAGACTATATTTAAAAGAAGAAAAACTACCACAACAAGAGGACATAGTCTTAAATTAGAGGGACAAAGGTTTAAAAATAATATCGGGAAGTATTACTTTACTGAGAGGGTAGTGGATGCATGGAATAGCCTTCCAGCTGAAGTGGTAGAGGTTAACACAGTAAAGGAGTTTAAGCATGCATGGGATAGGCATAAGGCTATCCTAACTATAAGATAAGGCTAGGGACTAATGAAAGTTTTTAGAAAATTGGGCAGACTAGATGGACCGAATGGTTCTTATCTGCCGTCACATTCTATGTTTCTATGTTTCTATTTTGTGATACCCCAATACTGAGACAACCTAGAAACAGTAATGGGGAGCTGAAAAGCAATCATTAGGACAGCCGTCCATATGGTCGCTCTGCTTATTATACTTAGAAGAAAGGCAGGTGTAGGCGCTCGAAATACTGTGAACAGGCAGCAGTAAATCTACAAGAATTCACAAATCTTGTGTAAGATACAGAAATGTGACAAAACAACAGGTGATAAACTGCGCCAAACAGAACTGAAAAAAATCACATGGGTATACTCAATCTTACCAATAACCCAGTAATGTGTACTAAATGATGTATATTCATACTCTCTCAGGAGTAAAGTGATTTTGTATTTCAGTACCAGGAAAATCTCAAAATAAAACAGAAATACAATGTAACAGATCCTAGTACTCCAGCTGAGTACATTCGTGAAGAATCTCCCAAGTCCCAAGCGCCTGTAGTGATTATAGTAGTGAATATAGCTCCCAATCCTCCAAACATTAGCCTAGACTTAATGAAGGGGTAAAACAATCTGTTTTTAATCCAGCCTCAATGACCTGCTTTTATACAATACAGGGACACAGAAAACACGCCCACGACACTCCCATAAACACACCCACAAAATGCCATGTCACCATGACTAAGCATAAAATGACAAATTATAGAAAACACACAAAAATACATATTTCGCATAAAGGAACCCCCATAGCTCATACATACTCATATAGCCTGGATGTGAGCGCCCAACATATCCGAAAAGCGCACAGATCCCACAAACACAGCCAAATCGCCACCAAGGTGAGGTTTTGACCGACCGCTCGTGAGGCGCCTGCTCAAAATAGTTCCATAGTTTTAAAGGTAGTGGTCAATCGTGTTCAGAAGTTCCAAACGCACAAAAAAGGAGGAGAACAGTTCTCCTGGCTCAATGGTAGTGTTTGTTCGTGAGGTCCATACAAACAAACCTACCGAACAGTGCTCTCCTGGCTTGCCAAGAAAGGAAGCAGGCGTTCGCGTAGTTAAACCGGTGTTCGCGGTATCCATCTTCAAGTTCCAGACACTCGATGACCAAGTCCCACTGACTGTTTCGTGCGACAAGATGGCCGCCGTTTTCTCCACACAGGGAGAGCATT